TCTATCCACCTCACCCCATCCCACCCCCTACACCCCCTACACCCCCTTCTAATCACCTCATCCCACCTAACCCATCTCATCACTTCACCCCATCATCAAAAAATCCAAACCACCCCCTATTATCCACTACCAACAATATAAATCCCATTACTCATTATCATTATCATATTACCAATAACTTCCATATACCACCACTTCTACTCTCTTTACTTTTTTTTCATATCACGCCATGTGCCACATCTAGAGATATCGTAGATATAAATGGCTGTTGGGAACTTTCATTAGAGCTGGTCTTAATTCACACGGGTCTTAATTCACTCTTAAGTTTTCTTCATAAATAAACTGTTAACAGTTTTATTTAGTCAGAGTAGGCACTAGCTGTCTTCGCAAATAAACTGTTAATAGTTATATATAGTCAGACCAAGCACTAGCTATCTTCCATCGTACAAATTCATCATCTCACCCTCACAAGAACATCGGCTCACGCATAGCATAATCAATCAATCTGAACTATGAAATCCTCATTATTAGACTTTGGATACACGTAACGTTGAAACAATCGCACAAATAACTCCGCTGCTGTAGTGGGGAAAAAAATAAGACAAGAGGAAACAGCCAGGATACCGAGTACGAATACAACATCCATACTGCTCACGCTTCAATTTCCCACGCTTTCCTACTTTCGGGAACAAAAAATCCCCGGCTAATCACGACGTGTAACCACCCAGATATATCTAGTCCCTCAAACCTATTCCATTCATCATTGAATCGCATATAACACCCGCTTTTGAGCATTCATATCTGTATTTTCTGTCCAGCTCAAATATTCTTCCTGTGCTTCACCGACACATCCAAAAATCTGTTGAACTGATGCTTTTCTTCTCTTTGAATCGGCGTAGTTTTCGTTTATGAAGTCTTCTTTTGAGCTGGGGCGCCACCAACGTACTTTCCAATATCAGTAGTATCGTGGAAAGTTCTAGCACCACCCTTAAGACCCTCCCAAACTTGTCTTGCTGCTGGTGGAGTAGATTGAGCTCCAACAAGGCTATCGATTCTTGCCTCCAATTGTCTGAATTGAGCTTGAACAAATGTGGATTGAGCAAATCTTGAGCGAAGGAATGCAGTGTAAATGAAGATCAAAATCCAAGACCCGATTGGAATGCAATAGCGGAGAGGAAAATGCGAACCCAGAGGATAATCTCAAGAAGAGCAACAAGTCCCATAGAGGTATCATAGTATTCCTTGACAAACTTTCCAATGGTATCGGCCATAGCGTTTGGCTTTGGAGCAGCCTTAGGGTCGGTACTTTGTGGAGCTGGTTGAAGAGTTGGGATGAGATTGGTGCGGGTGTAAGTTGCGACGTGGAAAACGGAGTAGACACCGAATGGAAGCATGGCGATGGGGTATTGTTTGGAGAAAAGCCATACAATTGCCATAGCTGTTATTTTGTTAGTCTGTAAATGACCAACTCAGAGCAGAAACCATGTACCCAAGTATTGAACATTTTCATCAGCGATATATGAGATCAAACCGGCTTGATTTGCTCTTCCAGCTCTGGCGCGAGCACGGAATGCCTTATACACCACGATCCCGTAGGTAACGGCGGCAGAAATAAAGGCGGTGCGATAAGAAAATGTAGCCCATCTCGAGTAGTAGTTGAAAGTTATGTAGGAGAGGCCATATCTGAAAATACAGAATAAGAGGGAGAGATGTCTGCCATTCAAAGTCAGTACGTATCACAAAATCAAATACTATGAAGTTGAATAAGTAAAATCTAAAGCCCTGTTGAAGCTCTCGGATGGCAGCGAAGAGACCACATATTTATTATCCAAGCTCCCAAGAGCTCTCTTTGACGCGGGGAAACACAATAGAGAGTACAACATACCCAACGAACCAAGCAACTACAGCGACACGATGATCAGTAAATATCCTCATGCACGTATGGAAAGAAGCATCAACTTACATTGTAATGTCTGCGCGAGTTGTATGAGCCTTTGCTGAAGTGGGAGAGCAGGGGAAGGTGGGGGAGCCATGGTGAAGTTGTAGTATGATCTTTCTCCTTGATCAATTCAGGTATGTTTCCTTTGTTATTGTATCGCAATTGATTTGTATACTTATCGGATTGTTGTGTAATGTATTTGTTTGAATGGTGTAATTGTTGAAGTTGCGAGGAAATATTTGTAGTTTGAGAGTAATTGTGTCAACAGGTTTTGGTTGGCTGACTGATAGAAAGAAGTTGGCGGAAGATGGCTGGATTGGAGTTCTAGTGGAAATCCCTGTACTGCGTCACTCAAGCGATTTCTTTTTAGCTTGGGCTGGGCTGGGCTGGGCTGGGTTGGCTGGTATGGTAGATAAGATTCCTTCTGGATTTAGATCAGATAGGTGGGCTGATGAATTTCTCTTCTTTATAAGGGAGAAAGGGGAATGAAAAGGATTGATTGATTGATTTTATAATATTCAGAGGAATGAAATCAAAAATCAAGTAAATAATGTCGAAAGGGATGTACTAGGTAGGTATGTAGGTATGTAGATGTCAAAAGCATTCAAACAGGAAAGAGTCATGAATTAATAATTATTAATAAACTCAATGACAATTCTTACGATTTACAGTTACCTTTATATATATATATATTCAATAAGACCTGACATTTATTACATTCACTCATCCAATTTTCAATTTCCAGTTTCCAGTTTCCTTGGTTCCATGATATGGCTTTGTTTCCAAAGAACTGCGCAAGAGAGCGTCATAACTTGCTTAGGCCATCTTTATTTAGAGCTTTCTTTAGCTTGACTTGCCATGCTTTGTTCGCTAAGGCCTAACATTCTGACGCCCGAACATACCCTACATCCCTCTCCATACCTGTTGCACCCAAATATCAAAAATCGTCTGTCTTCACATGCTACTAATATCCCGTAACACCTTCACTTAAAACAGGGCCCGGAACCTTCCTTCCTGATAGGATGAATCAAACTGACTTGTCGCCTTCTAGAATATTCAACATTTTCCTTCTTCACATTTCATTTCAATTAATGCAATTCAACTCCAATTTCATCAAAGGTATCCCCTCCTTAGATGTATTTATGTACTCAGACCAGAAGATAATTCACCATCAGACATTGTTAAACTTGTGATTAAATCTCTACTTTCATTGATTTTCAGGTGACGATTAAGATACTACGTCTATATCTACCCCTTCCAACTACTTACAAGTAACATGGTATCTCCCGCTTCCTGAAAACTCCAATACCTCCCTCCCATGAATCATCACTAGACTCCTAGAATGCATTTATCTTACAGATATACCCCCTTAACCCAACGCCATATATTTTCTCTTGCCTAATGACCTTACCCACGCTATTCATCTTCGCATTCGTTTGTTGAAATGTCGATAATCTCGTCCATGTCCGTGTCCGTGATGTCCATGTCCATGATGTCGTCCATGATGTGGCTCTCTCGGAGTTTGATGCGTTGGTATTGGCTCAACTGGCACCGTCTCTTCCACTTCAATCTCATAACTTTCATATTCATCTAGGAAGTATTCATTAACCGTGTCTCTCTCATTCTTAGCCGTGGCCACATCCAACATGAAGCGTACTGTGCCGTTTTGACCACGAACACCTGTGAGTTGTTTCCCACCCGAGCTTATCGATTTGGGGCTCAGGTTTGCTGGCGATGCAACATGACCATTAAATCGCAAATCCGCGGGGCTCGCTGGTGTGACAGGCGTATTAGGAGCATGTCGCATGCCATTATTTCGTGGCGCTTCGTAGTATTCGGTATAGCGCGGTAACTTCTTCCCTTCCAGTTCTTGATTGATCGTGATCCGGATGCTAATAAACTTCTCAATATTGTGTAAAGGTCCAACGATGGACTGCTTCTGATAATGTGTATATAGATCCAATAGATCCAGCATTGTCTCCATGATTTCTGATCGTGTAGTCCACCATTTTTTATAGCTTGGACCTTTCCAACCCTTTTGCTTCTCACAAATTAATGTCGCCAGTTCCACACAAGCATAGGACATAGTAGAACAAGTTTGCTTGAGGGGTGCAAAGGTTCGATAAAGATCCAGCATGACTTGATAGGCGACCTCTGCAACATCTCTTTGAATTCCACCATTTTTAACAAGCTTAATAAGATGTTTCTGAGGATAACGAACGCGGAAGTCGAAGCTAGATGCCTCGAGCATAAGACGTTCAAGGCCAATGACGACCTTAGAAGGACCCTCAAAAATCTACTTAGATTAGCTAACCATTTATGATCATGATGTATGTGGCAATACATACAGTATCATCAGAACTCAAATGCTCTGCAGCTGCATGTTTCAAATTATGTGCCGCGCAAATGATCTCCTTGGATTTCTTGAGAGTATCTTCAATCTTGCAAGCCGTTAAAAGTGCAGCGGCGGCTGCATCTTGATATTGATATTCAGTATCTTTGTGAACAAGTCGAAATCGATGAAAGTACGTGGCAGCCGTGCAAAAGGTCCGGACAGGTCTTATGGAAGTTAGCTTCCTCTATTCGCAAACGTGAGAATGATACTGACAATTGTAAAGCAATTCTAACATCATTGATCCATGTCACTCCCTGTAGTCTAAATTGGTCTTCACGCGTAGGATTTGTGCCAATGATCATAAGTTTTGAATTGATATGTTGCTGAAACATATACGGTTTGGCGACTTGAATGAATGATGGGTGAGGACCCGTAGGGTTAGCCTGCGCTGGTTCTGGGGCAGGCGCCATTGGGGCTGGTGCCATTGAAAGAGAATTCAGGATCAATGGAAGAGTATGTAGAAAAATAGGTGAAAGCGTCTGGAAGTAAGTTGACCGAAGGTCCCTCACATCTATGTTCGCCTTCCGTCAATCTACTGTAGATCCGCTTAAAATTTGGTTCAACAAGTACCAAACGGCTGCAGTATAGCTTTCCAGCTCTCCAAGTTTGACTATGAGAAACTCTGGCGAAGTCGTGCAAATTTGAACCTCTTGAGTGCTGCAACTAGCGACGCGCTCAGCGAGTGTCTTCAGAGTCGCAAATCGATTTTGATAGTAAATTTTCTTTCAGCTCGGTTCTCGTTGAATTTCATGGAATGCGATTAGTTTACCACTCCAGATTCCCTAGTTCATTCGTTAACTTGCTGATTAAAAAGATAATGTAGTGTGAAAGCTTGAAGATGCAAAGTTATATCAGTTTAATTCATATAACCAGAGAGGATGGTGATATTGTTCGGATTTACTTTCTTCCGGTATGTGGCAGAATTATCAATCCGGCAAGCAAGTACCTATCTCTCCCTAAAGCGGCTTTGTGGGTACGGGCCATCAGGGTCTCGAGGCTATGGAGGCTACGAATACCTTCAGCTGCGACATCGACAAAGACATCTTCGTCAGCTGAACAAGAAGACATTATCTACAAAATCTAACGCTCTATCAACTTGGACTACAGTACTTAATTAATCTACAGCTTCTGGTGGTTTCACAGCTAGCTAACATCAAAACTATTACGTGCAGAGCTTCAACCTCTGTACCAGCCACCAAGCTCACCACCATGGCGCCCATTACCAAAATCGTCTCATTGCTCAGCAGCGCAGCTCTTATCAACGCTCTCGTTCTTCCAGAAAGCATTCTCGACTTTCCTGTTGCGTATGATGCACATGCAACTGTCTACGATAAGAACAGCCCTCTTCCAAGCATTTTTAATCTCACCTCGTCCGGAAAGACTCGCAAAATCACACAGTCATCCGACGATGAAGATGATACTCCGCTGCCCTTGATTATCTGGCATGGCCTTGGTGATAACTACAAGGCAGAGGGGCTTGCACAAGTTGGTGCATTGGCCGATGCTATTCACCCTGGAACTTTTGTTTACAATATCCATCTTGATGATGATGCATCCGCAGACAGAACGGCTACCTTCTTTGGAAATCTCACTCGTGGGCAAATCCCCTATTCCCTTTAGAAATATCTATACTAACCCGTCCTCCAAGTTCAAATTGAGAAAGTCTGTGAAGACCTCGCCTCCCACCCTATTCTTTCTACAGCTCCGGCCGTCGATGCAATCGGATTTTCCCAAGGCGGCCAATTCCTCCGCGGTTACATCTCCCGCTGCAACGCACCTCCAATTCGATCGCTCCTAACCTTTGGCTCCCAACACAATGGCATTTCATCCTTCCAAAGCTGCGCTCCCGCCGATTTCCTCTGTCGCGGCGCTCAAACCCTTCTCCGCTCCAATACCTGGTCGACCTTCGTCCAATCCCGCCTCGTACCCGCCCAATACTTCCGAGACCCCGAAAATCTCGAACCTTACCTCGAGTCATCCAACTTCCTCGCTGACATCAACAACGAGCGCCTATTGAAAAATGAAACATACAAATCCAACATGGAAAAACTAGAGCGATTTGTAATGTACGTCTTCGAAGACGACACAACTGTAATCCCCAAGGAAAGCGGATGGTGGGCTGAAGTTAATGGAACGGAAATCACACCACTGAAAGAAAGACCTATTTATAAAGAAGATTGGATAGGCTTGAAGACCCTAGATGAGGCTGGAAAGTTAGTATTCAAAACGATTCCAGGAGGTCATATGACCTTGGGCGAGGACATGTTGGAGAAGGCTTTCAAGGAGTACTTTGGTCCGGCAGGAAAGAAGTTTGGCAAGAAGGAAATCGAGTGGACTGGACACGAGGAAGAATTGTAAAGGGGCTTGGTAGCGTTAGGCTTAGGCTGTCAGATTGATTTATTGTAGGATTGCGACTGGATTATGGAAGCCGGCGACGGACGTTATTTGTAGTTTTAGATACCGGGCATAGTTTTGCGGGAAGGCGGGCGTTTGTTTCCATGGTTTTGCTTGAAGAATTGCCTAATTCTTAGGATAATAGTATGTTAAACACCAGAATGAGAGTTTTTCTTTTCCACTATTAGCCATCACTTAAACCTCATATTCAACAGAGACATGTAGATATTCAATCCATTACAACAAAGATTGCCGTTCATTACAATGATTTATCTACTCCAAAGCTCAGTGGCAATGCCCAGTATATGTGCAAGTAGAAGTAATCCGCGAATGAAGTTCTTCGTCCCTATTACTTACACACATGCAAAACGTGAGATTACTTTTAACTCCAAACGCCTTTTAGTCCTTCGTTCGACAGGCCCCGATGCGACATATGTCTAAGTTCTCTTTTCTTGTCCGAGAGTCTTGTTCTTCTTTGGATCAGTGCTTCTCGGGCGGTGGCTTGCCCTCAAGCCAGAAACAGAACTTAAGCAACAACCTTCTTGGTCTTCTTGGTCTTCTTAACCACCACGGGAATAGCATCCAACTCCTTCGCCGCATCCTCCTTTTGTTTCTTCAACATTTCCTTCCTCAATGCAATCTCCTTATCCAATTTATCGTCGTTACTCTCCAACAACTTTTGCTTCTTCTCCTCTCCTCCCTTTTCTTCAACCTCGCTTCCCTCAATGCCCCTGCTCTTCCTCTTCTTATTCTTCTTCTCTGCGACTCTCTCCTCAATTTCACGAACTACACTCTCATCCAAAACATCTTCATCCTCAACCCACAATTCATCGGCCAGCCAGATAGGAAGCGCCATGGTCTCCGGTCCTTTGACATGGATTGCTCGAACTCCTCTCCATTTCTTAGGAACATACTTCTCAATCACAGTATTAGCCACTACCTCCAAATTCTCGGCCAATTTTGCCGCATCCCAACTTGCATAACCAATTCTAATCGCACTATTTGTCGAGCTACTCAACGTGAGCAATGCACTCGAAATAGCCTTTTCAATCTCCGCCGCAATCTTCTTTGGCTCAGCCGACTTTGGTGCATCCTCCCCCTTAGCCCTTGCGATTCTCTTGCCCTCGGATTTAGGAGCTTCAGCTTGGATAGAAACGGGAATAGGACGCTTGGTAGTCGATTTGTAGAAATTTTTGCCTAATAATTTGGGCAACAGAGTGATAATTCTATCATCTGCAACGAAAATATCATGTTCGGCGAATAGTTTGCGTTGCGCTTCATATTGCTTGTATTTCTTCTTGAGTTTGTCGACACCGACAACCTTGGTGATGCGCTTGGAGAGTTCGGCGGGGAAGGCGGCGGAGGCAACGATATCTTTGTAGGTTCGTTGAGGGTCGGCAACGATCAGACAGATGGAAGTGGTGCTGGAGGTGTTAAGGGAATGGGGAACAGTCACTTTAACAGGCTTGAGCTTAGTTTTGTCGGTGATGTGCTTTTTAGTCGTGAGTGTTAACCAAACTGGGGTGGATTCTGCATCGTCGTCGTCATTTTCGGCGAGGAGGTTTTGAGCGCCTGCTTTTTTGGCTTTTTCAGCCTTGGTGCTAGAGATATGTTTGATGAGTGCAGTAGATGCTTTCAATACCTAGTAATGATGCATGAGTATGTGTCAATTGGATCGAAAGCGAAGGATGAAAAAATACCTGATCATGATCAAGTTGATATGGGGAACCACTCTCGACCTTTGTGGTCAAGGTAGTAGATTTAGGTGCCATTATATTATGAAGAACTTTTCGATTGAATAATATATCCTCCTTGAGTTGGCGATTGATAGATTGTAAGAGGTTAAAGAATGCGCAATGTCAATTCTTTTTTGTTGGTAGTTTGTGTGCGGATGTCGAAAGCTTCTTACGATAAGAAATTTTATGCGATTTGAATTTTGATAAATAAATTTCCTTGGCGTCGGAGCTTTAATGAGAGTTTCTCCGACAAGGCTGTGAAAATGCGTTGAGGCTCCTCCTCACTTACCGTACCTTATCGTGAGACTACATTATGCAAGGCTGGACGATACGATAAGGATTTATGAAGCTGCTTTGTACAATTAACGAGAATGATATCTATAACATGATATGAATGTCTAAGCTTTTGAATAGATTCATTCCTACCAGAAATAAGGTCTAATTTGGCGCAATTATTAATCTACTTGTAACAATGACAGATATACAATTTACCTCTTCTTGGTCAAACCAACCTCTCAAGCCCCTCAAGACCCCTTCCTTTAGCCCCGAGTATGCATTGTGCACCTAGGAAAGTCCACTCACTACCCATTCATTCTCTCATTAATCACCGCCAAAACCTCACACCGCCTTCATCCATCTGAAGCTTCTTCTCAAAAGCAGAAAGCGAGCAGCATTTAAAGTGACATGAATGCATGAATCAAGTAACGAAGTACATACGAAATCTGCAGTCATCGTGGACAAGAAACCAATACTTGTCTTTACTTGCACCAGCTAACTTGCTATGATTCAAACAGCGGAAGCACACATGTTCTGACATAATGTAATATAATATAACATACTAAATACAATCAATAACTCAGCTTGTACATTCATTCCTACCTCGTAGCCTGCTTTCACAACCCATCAATCAAAAGTGTTTCAATCAAATCAGCGCGTAAAAATGCGGCATATCATATCGCGTTTGGAACGCACAAAGCACGAAGCACGAGCACGAAACGAAGGTGTTCAAGGAGGCTGGAACTGGGAAATGGGTTATGTGTCGCGTGTATGGTGGAGTTTGGTATGCGTGGGATGAGAGGGGATCGGATGGGATAGGATGTGAAAAATTGCTTGCTTACTACCTGGTAGGCTTGGGCTTGCGGTTGGTGACGAGAGTGAATGAAAGAATGGATGGATGAATGGATGAGAAGTCTAATGACTTGTAAGGAATGATGAATGAGGTATAAAAAGTTATGAATGCCTACGTATATTGTAAGTCTTATAAACAATTCAAACCTACTCGGTGTACTCTCACTTACTTGTATACCTTTCTTTCAATGGGCTCGAGAGTATTGGGTTTGAGTTTATGTAAGTCTTACGACCTAGACAGATGCTAGACACATACTTGGTATATAGAACGTGAGTTGTTAATTTAATAATGGTATATGAAAACGAGCTTTGGTAAAGTTGCCTAGTAGTCAGTCATGTACTACTTGAAGAGGAGGTGAAGAATGAAATACGAGTACGTGTGCTTACTAGGTACTTTGCCAGATAGTGAAAGAAAGTATCTGCTAATCATGTATCAAGAGTCATTTCTTCAACACTCTCATAGGTGAATGAAATATTTATAAATAAACCTCATCATATAAATTCACTTGTTTCCTCTCAAGTACCAGAGTTACACTTTTAAACGTCATAATTTCCAAGTACGGTGTTGATTTTTTATGAAAACGGCAGAAACGGTAAATTTCATTCATAATTAATAATTTTTTTAAAGCGGCCAATGAACATTTTTAGACTCCAACGCGGGTCGCGTCTGGTCCCGATGGGTCTGGGAACTTTCTTAACCTCCTCTCAACCTTCCCGATCCTCCACCTCTACACCAGAGACCTGGTCGGAGGCCCCATACAAAACCCAGTCTCTTCCTTTTACAATCTTTTGATTCCCTTTCATAGATTGGCAATTCTTCTGTTTCCGTTTCACCAAATACTTCCTTCCAACATTCTTCTTTCACTCCTCGGCATCTCTGAAAATCCTATGAGCCTCGCGTTGGAATCTCAACTCACCCACCGCGTTTAAGGTCGCGGTCTGAGATATCCACTTTGAAGAAAAATTCCTTTGAGCCTTTCATCATTTGTGATCGAAAGGACATCTATCATGATGGACTCTTCACCAAGCAAGATTAACGCTCAACCTACCTTGCCAGCAATGGCGGGTACAAAGCGTCCTGCACCAACCTTACTTCCACCCTTCGAGCCACTTCCCTCCTCCTCACCTACCCTACCAGGACGTAACACTAAGAGAATTCGTACTTCCCCATCTGCATTCGAATCGACTTATAAGTATCCCACTCCAATCCCTACTTCCACAACTGGTATCCTTTCATCCTCCCCTCCAGGGGTACACGCTCGGGCCGGCCTCCATCGAAGTCGATCCTCCATTGAAAGAGCTCCTCTGTTAGCTGTGCCAACAATCACTCTTTCCGAAGATGGAGAGTCTCTTCTCATGGGTAGATCCAGCAACTCCTCCCACTATCAATTATCCGCCAATCGTCTCATCTCTCGTGTCCACATCAAAGCTCGATATATTGCTGCAACAGTCCCACTCGAGTCAAACAAAATTGAGATTATCTGTTGTGGATGGAATGGAGTCAAGTTACATTGTCAAGGTCGAACATGGGAGTTAGCAAAGGGGGATAGTTTCACCTCAGAAACGGAAAATGCTGAGATCATGTTGGATGTTCAAGATGCAAGGGTCCTGGTTGCTTGGCCTCAAGGTGATCATCTTGATTCGGCTGCTCCGACAGAGGTTCCTTCGTGGAGCGAGGATAGTTCTCCTAGGGGTAAGGTTACTGCTGTTACTGCTCAGGGTGACATTATTCATTCCAGTCCAATTCGTCGTGTTGAACGCCCTTCCTCGCCGGTATCACCAACACCTGCTCGCCCAACCCTTTCGTCTGCCAATTTGGCCAACCTCTTTGCCGATGATGCAGAGAAGACCTTCATTCAAGTATATGAAGATAAAGCAGAGCCCGCTCCAGTTACTGAGTCTAAAGATCCTGAACCAGCATACTCACCGACAGTTGCTGCAACATCATTCAATGCATCATTCCCAGCCAGTCAAGAGAGTGAGTTGAGTGAGCCAGATGAAGACCCTGATGAAGAAAATGATCCAATTGTTCACTCCTTTGGTCCTTTTGGTGCAAATCTGTCCTCGAGAATGGCCCAATTCACAGCTAGCCATCTCCCAGAAGCTCGTGGCCGTGATGAACACAAGCCTAAGGCATCTCCTGAGAAACGATCAAGCTCCAGCTCCACTGACGAGGGTGCTGTTACTCCTGTCATTAACCATGTAGCGAACCAACTTGCCTATTCTCGTCTTCAATCCATGCCATTGTCAACTATTCTCAGAAACCTCCCATCCAACCTTAGAGGTATTAGTCCCTCGAAGCAGGAAAACAAGGGCCTTACAAAGGAAGATCTCCGAAAGATGTTGAATAGGACATCGTTCATAGGCGAAATCCACCGAGAGGGAAAAGACGCTGCCGGAAAGCCACTTGAGAGTGAATATTACTACATCCCAGATGAAGATACCGATCAGTCAAGGAAGGAGACCGTTCAGGAAGGATTGAGGAAACCCAGTTTGAGGAACTGTAGAAAACAACATAAAGTAAGATGCATCCACCCGTTGACCATACGTACGTGTATCTAACTCTTCCGCAGCAATATTACTGGAAGCGACCACGAACTCCATAAATGTGCTGTAGTAATATGACTTGAGGTCCCGCTCAAGGAAAGAATCGAATTTCGTGAGTCGCGAATGCTTCACAGCTTCAACATCGATTCACCAAATGTAAGATAAACGACTTCCACGACGGTCGTGGCGGTATAGTTGGGTAGCATAACGACCAAAAAAACTGTTTGTATACGATGATGGATGGATGATATCAGGCTATTTCAGGTCCCTCATACCCTTTTTATTTGCATAGCGAGGCGTCAGTTAATTATTTTGTGCGTTTGTATTCTGCTGGTTACACAACTTTTGAGGCGGCCCTATTCGGCTCAGCAGATGGAGAGGTAAAAGTAACTTTTCAGACTTTCAGACGAGGTTGTCATGTAGTAAAACACAACGAAAAAGCATTTATGAAGTTCTTCCCATTGTCGCAGGTGAATGGCGCAGGTAGAGGGAGTACCAGCAGAATGATCTCTGGTGAGATATAATGAAATATAATGATGTTGATGTAGTAATGTGGTTTGCGACAATGAGAGAGAGAGGCACAATAAATATAAAATCAAAAAGTCGGCAAGGTGGTGTTGTGGCAGCGAGTGATTCAAAGATTAAAGTGGCGATAAGAAAATCAAATCTTATCAGTGAATCGTTTCGAATAGTTCCCGCAGAATAAGATTAAGCGACCCCGCATTAGACTAGTACACGTGCCTCCAATTGAACCTGGACTTCGCACAGCCAGGAGGTGAAGTGATGTCAAACTTGTTCTCTAGGGGGAAAGGACAAAAAGCACATGTTTGAGAAGAGAAGACGACAAGTCATACCACTTTCACGCTAGGTAATGTACTGATGGGGTTTGCATGAATGAACGGGAGTTCTTCCCTCGTATAGATATATATCCTGTTTGTTTGATGCTCATTTGATTGGATTTAGATTTTTATTTGTTTGTATGATAGGATGGATGGCTTGGGAAGAGGGGTAAGGGTGAAGAGTTGATGTCTTTGGTGGTGGGATTCTGAAGGTCGTCCGTCTTTGATAGCAGCATTCTTGCCTTGTGAGGCCATACATACTTATCATATTCACTCGTTGATACTGAAGACAAAGGGAAACGGGACACGGACGGGTGTGAATTCGATAGGTAGTGTAGTGGTGATCAAAATCTCATGATTTTGGAGACTTAGTCATACGATTTGTGGGAAGTACTTGTGTTGATTGAATATATATACATTGAAATTCTTTCTATTCAGAAGAAAATGAAAAAGAAAGATATTACAACTACAAGCACCAAAACTTGAAAGCTTGAAATCCATTGCAGTTTCCGTGTTTCCATACTTTTTTTTTGGGCTGTGGGCATTGATTGACGTCACACGGGCAATTGAAATATTGCGGAGAAAGCTCATATTTCCTGTAATTTCTCAGTTTCGATCGGCATCTTGCAATTGTCTGTAAATAAAGCCATTCCTCCATCTTTCTCGACAAGCAATCACAAAAACACCTACATCTATTCATCTACCTCTTAAATAACTGCAACGCATACCAAAACCTGCATCAAAATGGCATCCACCACATCTACAGCAACCACACCAGCCCAGACCAGCCCTACCCACCACGACGAAGCCTCCCTCCCGCATCACATTAAACCCGGCTCCAACGCCACAACTTCTCAATCCACTGAAGCCGACGTATCTATCCAGGACGGCCGCCGCAATTCCTTGGGCGAACCCCTACAATCCTCAGTCGAAACGTGGAAACCGAATCTTGTTAGAAATCAAAGTTGGAATCATCAGGATTTGAAGAGATTACATGTTGAAGCGGGTCTGAAGAAGGAGGAATGGAATAATGATGAGGGTGTGGCGGGGTTGGGATATAGTTATGAGGATGGAGAGAATAGGAAGATGTAGAGGGGTAGGGGAGTTGGATGTTGGGGTGAGTGGGATGGTGGAATAGGGTGTTGGAGGATGTGAGGGGTTGGGGGAACGTGGAGCTGGAGAGCATTGAATGGACTGGGATAAATTGATATCATGAGTGGATGGATGAATGAATGGACGGGCAAAGACACAAAATTAGCTTTTGCTCCGGCGGGATTGATTGAAATGACATACGTGGGAGGAAGTAAAGAAGCATAATTTGGTATCGGTGATCGGTTCTGAAGGATATACATGCTACTTCGGTCTATAAATTAGGGGGAAATGAAAGCTTCGACATAGTATACATCAATAAATACTATTTATCACTCCTTAATATCTCCCGGTCTAACAAACCTCGTTTTTCCCTCAACTCAATGTCTATCAGGTATAGACATTCTTAGCATAAACCCATGATGAATAACAGTAATACCCTATTTTAACATTCTCAATCCATTTCATACCCCTAGCTATTTTCTTCCTCAACTCCCTGACATTGAGCTGCAGCTGAGGCCAACAATTCAAGTCTCATTTAAGCAAATGTAAGTTTACAATCTATGAGCACTTCTGCTCAGCACCTCTTATCAAGCCCATTACTAAATACCAACCCCGACCTAAGTCTCAAATAAACAGCCACTTTTTGAATTTTTGTCCTTGGTGTCCGTAAGCTTAAGACTTAAGTATGTACACCTCCGAGGAGAAATATCTTCAATAATCGTCGTTCAGCTGCTGGAACTACACGCGGTAGAGTGCTAGGAATTAGATTGCCTGATCTTAGGTATTTGTTGGACACGGCTGGCTTCTAGATATGGTGTAGGAGGATTCTGAAGTATAAGTATAGTGATGTCCCTTTTTCCCTTGCAGTGTGTTCTGGCGTCGTTGCAAAGTCTTGCGGGGATTTGCTTGCTTTTCTGCTGGATTGGGTGGTTGACGGCTAGTCATGGCTGTTGCTGAATCATTTTTCGGCGACCTACGATGATGAAATTGGACGTGGATATAATTTTCGCGTGGCATGTGCTCAAACTTGATATCATTCCTTGTGAAAGGGGGCGTGAAATATGGGGATTAGATATTGTGAGCGCAGAGCTTCATCAATGGAAGAATAACTCAGCAGTCCTCGAACATGGACGTGGAACTTAAAGTCAATTATGGGAATGAAATTATTAGCCTGATTCCTCGGTGCTAGGATAATTAGCGATTGTGTTTCAGTTGAAGTCCAGGAACTATTCCCGAATAAAGTCTACCAAATCTTATCTCATAGCGTGCTTGTGGCCTCGAAGGAAGGTGTGTATATATATATATGTTGTTCCAAGTTTGTTTGTTGGCGAATGTCATCTGGAGCGAGGCGGTAGATTTCTCCACAGGTTTCATGAAACTCTTTCACTTATTCCATGAGCTGTCCCGTGAGCAGGTGGTATATGAGAGATTTCGTGAAGAAGTCCAAATCCCTGAGTCCGGGAACTCAAGAGAGAGTGGAAATAGATATTGTTATTGGGATATAACAGCATTTTCTATACCACGCATCGAGTACATCTTCCTTCATCCAACTGTTAGTCCTGTAAGATGTAGTCCTGTTGGCGATTGCAACGTCAATTTGAAGTCGATTGACTGGATTGACACCTCTGATTTATGCATGCCGAGGAGGGCCGCATGCCAAGTGGCGCATCTGGACCTGGCTTGATTGTTCTGAATATTACGCCGGCTACAGTGCATGTTGATGATGTAGGGAGAGAGCAAGAGCACGTTATTGCTTTGTCATGGCGTAGGCAGCCGGAGCTGTGACCGTGAAGATGAGTAAATCATGAAGTTTCGACCCCGGATGAGAGTAACCATATCCTTTCAATAGTGTATGCAAAGAGCGAAGGCCCGCTGCACGGCAGCAGGACTTTAAAATTGACATCAAGCAGCCCAGATGATGGTGCAAGGCTTGTGTGAGGACGTCTCCTAGTCGGCTTATTGGGCGTCGCTAGGCGAGAAACGCATTTACGCTTGAACGTGCAGCCATAGCTTTCTGGGCTGCGTAAGGTGATGAACTACTTCGCAATGCTCGTTCAAAATACTGATATGTCAATACTACCAGCTTTTCGGCTTCTGAACTAGTATGATCCTCGAACTTGTTCGATGTGATGACTTGACGAACAGAGATGAAAGTCTGGTCAGGGTTTCTTTTCTTGATCTGGAAATCCGCATTCCTTTAAACTCTAGAACATCTTTCTCCTTCCATAACACTTGAACCCCGCAGTTCTTAATACGAAAGTAAATAAATGCTGTGATAGTCAGAATAATGCGACGGCGGGAGGTTATATAAAAAGGATGGGTAGATAATTAACCACGATCCTTGAATTCTTCTGAACAGAAATAGCAATAGGAATAGAAACTTAGAATTCCCATCTAGAACACCTCCGAGATACGATTAGAGCGCATCTGAGTACGGAGGCCCTGCTTTTAGCACTCCATAACAGACGGCTCTTCTCAGTTCTAGATACAGTCTTACACGATCAAAGTACAATAAAAGATTGGTGAATGATAGAGTGGTTTGGCAGTGTGTGTACCTCAGGAATAGAAGCTCTGAGAAAAGACATATGTTTTCGAGCTCGAGTCTAAAGAAGCAAGATCGCCACGACAATAACGGGGAATAGGCAGGATATGTATTGTTTCTTTTTCATTGACAATTGGTGCATTACTTTTATGCGCCCCGCCAATGGAGCATCGTGGATGAAAATATGGTGATTATGACGCTTGCGAGCTTCCTAGGTTGGGTAGCATAGGAGTAAACTATAGCACAAATATTGAGATACGAAGATTGCATAGTACTTAGACTCTGGAACGTAGATTTTTTCTTCTAGAATTAGAAGGCTTGGAAGCATCGTCTTCTCGAGAGTCCGCTAGCCAAAAACGAGCCAAGAAACGATGTCTTTAACATCATCACAATCGAGAAAATGTAGCTGCACATACCAGACCGCGCCATGAAATCTCCATCTAATTATAGATTGATTACCTTATAGAAGGTCCAAAAGCTAATGACATATGTTTGAAATGGATTCATGTTGGGGGGTTTCTGAATGAGACCGAGCAAGCTTGCTCTGGCTTTTCCACCAATTTTCTTCGGCTTCATGTCGTCTTTATTGACTGCAGCCGGGTACTAGTAACCACATTCGGGTGCCTCTATATTTAGAAGCTACAACCTTACAAAGCATGAATGCTGGTGATATAAGCTGACCTCTTGCTTCTGATATCGACTGATCCAAGTAAAATGCTCGGGGATATGTGATTCCTGGTACAATAGAATGGGATGACTACAGTCAGCCATCCTCTCAGGTTACTAACAATGTATAACTATGCATAAGCTAAGCAACAGATTTTGAAAAAAAAAAAAAAACACATCTTTCATTGTATACGATGGCCTAGATTGTTCGAGAACTTTCCCGAGCGGAATTTGAGAAAGGAGGAGGGGCTTTATTGTGTAACAATACGCAGCTATTCGGGACCAATCATTCATATCCCAACAGAATAAACGAGTAAAGAAAATATTAAATAAAAGCCACGTTTGTGACTGGGTGGCTAGATGCATTGAAAGCCAGTCTCCGCAGCCGAAAAGAGAATTTTTTTGGAAGTCAACTTTGAAGTCTAGCAACAGGGAATTTTTTAAACCAGCAAATATCTCTGAGGAAGTGAACCATAAAGATGATTATGACACGGTTGCACATAAGATCCTGAGCCCTGTGGATGAGGCAAAAATCTTTCGGAAAATTGACTGACGAGAACCATCCCAGCGACATATTTTTTGGGGCAGTTTTGTCTAGTTTGATTTACTCCTACTCTTCTCAGAGTGTTGTAAGAAATTATATCTAAAGGTGTAGCTGTAACATGAAATAGAATCGATGCGTTCGCATAATTAGACGGGAAATGTCTAATTGTCTAGATATGATGGGTAATGATTTATTTCGCCTTTTCATACCTTTCGCGACAGGGTTCGCGAAAACTCATATCACATAACCAATCGACACATCAACACGCCTAGTGGAAGATGCATAGGTCGGTTCAGCTGACATCAATCCTGATAATTTAAAGGAAATGCATCAAAAGAAGGCGGTATCGACGATGACATGCACCACGGAAGATCAGAACAGAAATGTTCACGGGCGAAAGCGACTTGATAAAGATAGATATTTGAGCAGGAAGTAGTCAAGACCACGAACAGACAACTGCAATTGAATGGGCTGAGCTAAAAAGACGGGGGAATACGCCAAACTTTCATCGATGTGGATTGAAAGGGGAGAACATCGGGCGGAGCCTTTAGCATGTCGATCCCACTCAGGGAAATCACTCAGATATATTTTTACGCAAAGCAGACGCCGGACGGCGAATGAATTCGATTAAATTTTTGTAAATATCTCCGTTATCAGTAAATGATGGCACTGGCCGAAATTAATTCTAATATATAAGCCTCGACATTAGAAATTTGACGAGAGTCAAACGACGACATATGTATTTACCTGGTTAACAATCAAGTTGAGTTAAGCTTTTTTGACAACACATTTTGATCCTTTTCACCTCTTCGTATTCCATCAATTTAAGACTTTTTCAATGAAGATCTTGTATCAAAGATAATAGCCTGGCATAGCCTTGCTTGTGTGACGAAAGTTTCTGGTTCGAGATTTCCTTTGTGTCAGGGATATTTATATTGATGTGATTACGACTATCACTATAAAACCCCTGTTTGCTGTAATGATAAGGGGGTGTCAAACAAGGTTGCTATACTTGCATCCATGGAATCATTTGATGAAATCATTGGTAGCCGCTCATTCTTTGCATATCACAATCACCGAATGACGATCTGGATTGAGAAAACATTTGATGTTGATAGTGTTGCCGTTGGATTGTTGGGTGGCTACTAGCTAGATGGCGGAGACCAGCCGTGAGCTGCACATCATTGCTTCACTACCGTGAATGCTAAATGAGCGGTTCGAATGCCTAGATGAGGACGAGGGTGAGGATGTGGCATTACGGACCGGAAATATTGAATGCAAGTAAGCAACGCCTCACGATGTTTGAATTTCGGTCCATCTCATCTTTTAGCTGTAAGATTCTGAAGTAAGTTACCGATGGCGGATCCTGTCGTCATAGTCTTGATAATTTAGTCTGGAACATTTGAAAGGAAGAAATGTATAAAGATGGTAAAGATCTCATTTCTCTCGGAATTATCAATTCGAAACATCGTTAATCAAAATCCACTATATTAGACGAGAGAGTCTTGCCTATTTTAGTCTAGTGGTGATGTGTCTATCCTTGAATGTCAGACAAAAATCTAGAACAAAAAAGTTTCCTCAACCTTTCCCAATCAACCCAATCAACCTAATCAACATAATCCACTTAATCCAACATGAGATGAACTTCATATATTTTTTATCCTCTACCAATAAATCCCCTGGCATTTCCCCTGACGGATTGATAACACATGTCTTGCTGCTTTCCATGAGATTGGTAAAGTTATTATACAAATTAAATCAATCTTATACCATTAATTATCGATGAAACATTCAGGCGGCGGTGAGATTGCAACCATGGTTGGCTACAGCTACAGCCTTGCGTCAGGAGAAGTGGAAGAGAAATTCACCAATCTTCTTTTTTAATATACCCCATTTCCATCGCCATTGGTCAATAGCAAGTGCTGAGTCCTGTCCTGAGCTTTATTCAAGCTTCTTGATCCACAAATGCTAATATACCTTGAATTATGGAGGGGCGGGATACCCGGGTCGACCCATACAATCCATAATCTGGAACCATGCACTATCATTCTGTGTACCGTTCAAATACTTTCTCGTTTCTCAAATTTCCATTCGTTCTTTTTTTCTCTCTACCAGCTTTCGAAGTATCTCACCTTCAGTCTCTCTTTCTTCAAAGACCTGCTCTTACCACAATCTCTTGGCTGTGCCATCTTTACGTTCTATCTGTACATCAAAGAATATATCAGTAGGCCAGATCCTCAAAAAAAAAGATTGTCAAAAATCATACCTCAACAAAAATGAAGTGCAACGCCATCATCCTCGCCAGCTTCGCGCTCGGCCAATCAGTCATGGCATCAAACATCCATCGTCCTGGAGGCCAGTAAGTACAATCTACCTTTCATGTTCAATCTTTACAGTCTTCTAATCGTGAATAGCTTCCAAGTTCAAGCCTTCAATGGAACAGCTCCTCCGTTCCCATCTGGAACTGGACACCCATCGGGAACTGGGCACGCATCTGGTTTCCCTCGCCCAAGCGGAAAACCATCCCACACCCACACCAAGTCCAAGAAGCCTTGTAAGACCAAGTCATCCTCTGCGGTAGCATCTTCTGGCGCAGCGACTTCTGCTGCAGCACCTTCTGACGTATCAACTTCCGCTGCAGCAACTTCCGCTGCGGCCACTAGCTCCGAAGCTCCTGTCGTCACTTCTGCGCCAGCAGTCAGCTCCGATCTTGTTCCAACAAGCAGTGTTCCATACACAACTTCACTCACAAACCTCCTTTCTGAGACCGTCGTTGTCACTGTTACCCCAGAACCTGCAACTTCTCTTCCAGAAGCTTCAACCTCCACAGCCGCCGCTGTCCCAACAACTTTGAAGAGCTCTGCTGTAGACAACTCATCAACATTCATTGCTTCATCATCCTCTTCCAAGGCCTCAGCAAGTTCTCTTCCACCATACCCAACAACCTTTTCAACTGGTGCCTCCCCTACCATTGCTTCTACCGGCTTTGCCTCTACCGGTTTCGCTTCTGGAACTGGTGCTGCCGCTTACCCAACAGGCTCCTTGGTCGCTGCCTACTACCGATGTGGAGGAATTGGTTACACCGGATCAACCAACTGTGTTGAGGGTACCTACTGCAAAGTTCAGAACCCATACTACTCCCAATGTATCTACGAGGAGTCTTATTGGTCTTAGGTCGGTGGATTGGGAAGTAAATTGGTGGAGTTGACAGTAGGCGCGATAGAGTTTGGATCACCTTGATGGTTGATAGTTTGGAGGTTCACTTCTTTTTCTATCCTAGGATAGCCTTTAACAAATATAAACGATTTTTCATCATACCCGGGAATGACTGCCTTTTTTCCTTCAGAAAATCTCTAAACCGCTAGAAACCTTTAGTTTCTCACATTCCATAATAATCTTTATAAAAGTTCTCAAGTGTATTTAAATTGAATTTAAAGTCTGATAATCATAGCCATACTTCCAAAAGTGACGTTGCCCTGGCTTCCGGCAGTCACTGCCGTAGAGGCACGCTACTGATTCAGGTTCAGAAAGTAGAAGAAAAATGTTTCACCCATTACGTAATATTTTGTACGACTTGCCAACTGCATAATCCCAAATTTCTTGGGTTGCACAACTTCCCCAACGGTTTTCCCCAAAAAAGCAAAAAAGCAAAAAAAAAATTACATCTGATCTGCATCACCCAATGTCGTGCCAAGCAATAAAGCAATTTACCTTACAAACAACTCTTGCCCGTGAAAATTTCGGGAAACAAAATATCTCGGTAATCTAGAAATTATTCCGAACTCCGAACCGTGGGTCCTCGTAGCCTTACATATTATAACGGCTCCCCACAATACTTCGCTTAAGCATCTGCTAAATTAATGCACTCTCCATTTTCTGACAGAACTTTTCAATTCTTTTCGGTATAACATAGGTATATATACTTATTTAGCGCTAACCAATCACAACCACTCCCTCTTAATTCGCATCTCATCATTCATCCAATCTTGGCACATCAAGCTGGTTGGTGACGAAATGGGGCTCAGGCTCGGGGGTGTATAATGAATGGTGGTGTGGTGTAATGGTAGCACGTGACGTTGTGGTTCATCCTCTATAGGATATCTCACGAAATGATCCGTTTCAATCTGGGTTCGATTCCCAGCACCGCCAAAGACGGCGTCTTTGGATTGAAAACTTGTGATGGTTTGACTCCATCTTTCCTTTTCGGATGGCTCTGGATGGGGCTGGTGGAACTTTTTAGTGGTGTTATGGGATGGATGATGAGGGGAGAGATTTCTTTTTCGGTCCAAGTGAGAGAGGAAACTTCAAAGCAAGCCTTCAAAGCCCAGTTTCTCATCATGCCAGCAGATGTTTTGCGGCGAGATAGTCTGCCTCTGCGGCAGTGGTTACCGCGGGACCAGCGGAGCGTCACTTAGTTGTTGATAATGATGTATATCGTATGAATTAATTGATATCATAAAAATGGTTGGTCATTTATTATTAATGAAGACTAGCTTCCAAACCACTTTTTTTTGCTTGCCAAGATTGTTTGTCCCTTTTAGACCCGGCAAGTTTGTAGGGCTCACCATCTCCGGGGGGAGGTCCGAGACAGTTCGTCAATCTGGGTCCACTCCAGTACGGTCAATCAATGCCCCTTTCTTTGGTTTGCTTCAGGTCATATTCGAGGTTTTTTGGCTGTCGTGAGAAAGGCGGACAGCCATCAAACACACCTGACGAAATACGAACCGAATTAATAACTTCATCTAACACCGGCATTTACTTGCACGCTATGCCCAGGTACTGCACCAACAGCAAAAACCGTAGTTCGTCAACTCATCAGCGGAGACAGGTCTTCCATTTTCGGGAGTAAGTAACGATCTGAAAGCCGATCCTACAGCCTCATTCCAAGTAGCTTGAAATCTTCTTCTACGACGTTGTTTGCACACATATCTGGTTAGATTTGCCTGCAGGTCGAAACTCGTAAAACCACAAGCAAGCAAGTAAGTAAGTGTATTATAGTTTTGAAAATGTCTGCACCATTCTTGATATTGTCCAGTGAATTCAATTTTTTTTCCATTGGCATTCTATTGTAAGAGAGATATGTCCGTTCAAAGGTTCTGTTTCCATACCATAGATATGTGTCAGTGACAAAAAAGATCGCAGATGGTATACAAATGCCTTACCCTTTTGAATTGTAAGAATTAAATATCAGGATGATGTAAAGTTCTAAGCTAAATTCTTCGCCATACTAATCGTCCAAGTAAAGCCATAAAGTTTCATGCTAACAACTTTTTTGCGAGTAAAATCGAATTTTATATCCGATCCAAAGGGTATCCTCTAAGATGTTGAACCAATAAGCAAACATTGCCATATTACATTTGCAACATTCATTGAAGTGATTTCAGACAATGTTCTAGTACCTATTCCGGTGAGAGAAGTCAGTATACTAATAGCCACCATAGCAAAGGGGTCTAAAATAAGATAACTAATGTCTCGCAACTTGTTAGAGCCGGAGGCAAAGACCGAAGAAGAGAGACTGAACTAAAAAGGGGTAAGTATTGGGAAGAGGGGGGGGGGGGGGTTGACGGTAAGCGCCTGTGGAATACCTCATAAGGAGTAGAATCCATCATAAATCACGTTATTATATCGTGCATCAATCACACTTCAATCAAGAAGGAAGGGTGTATTCAAATGTTTCGTCGAGAATATTTCGACGTAACTGTGTATACTTACTTCTATCATTATTTATTGGGTTTCTTGAGACCAGAAAGAGCATCAGATTGAATTGATTGATTCTCTAGCTAAGCAGTTAAGCTGCGAGTATATATTCAAAAAATGAAGGAATAGGGTTAGGTATTCGGCCTTTGGAATTAAAGTGCTTTGAAATCAAAATATTGAAAGCAAACAAACAGTATACCAAAAAGGAAAGAATGAATTAAAAGTTGAGTTTTGTTTGCTCCTTATATGCATCATGCAATATATATGCATATGCTGCCAAGATCCCAGGAGGTCAAAATTATTTGTCTTCCTTGACAGTAACACTCACTATTCAAGTACTACTTACTACCTACCCCATTGCCAATATTTACCTTACTATCTACCACTATGCATCTCCATCCCCATAGAATCAAGACCTCTACACTCCCTCCTTCCCCTTTCCTCCTTCCTGTTCCCTTCTTCTCCATCTACAACCCCAACAACATCCATCTCTTCTTTATCTCCTTCCTCATCCAGAAAGGCAAACAGAATTCAATTCATGCTTCTCCGCCCCTTCCCTACTAAACAAAAGTGCCAAAGTACCAAATTCAACCCACTACCACGACTTAATTTTTCACTTCAGTCATCATGATCAAAATTTGTTTTTTTTTTCATGCCAAAAGAATCAAGCCATTCAAATTCTCTCCTAGAATAACTAGCCCCTTAATCGACCTTGGCTCTCAGACTGTCTTAGCGAGCGAACTCAATGCAGGATCTAAGCAACTACTAATTAGCATAGCCAAGAACTTTAGATGTGCAATAGATTTTTATTTCTCTTGAAATCCCTTTCTGATCCTTAATTTTAGTTACATTTTTAATTTAGTTTGTTCCCCATTTTGATTGCGTGTTACCTGGTACCTGTTCCTCCATTGTAAATAACAGCCAGCCGTCCAAAATTACCGACCCAATATGTGTTGCTCGTGATTATCATTATCATCATATTGTGCCAAAACCTCCAATCGCGTTCCCACCCCGATGCCCAAGATTATACATTGACTCTAACGCATCAGGCCCTCTAAAAAAAAATAGCCATCCCCTCCTCCCTACCTTAAAGGCTCTTGCCTTGATCATGATTCTCGTTATGTCCATTTCTCCATCCTAACGTTCCCCTCAAAGAATCCTCCGCTTCTACAACCTTCCTTGGCAATCCTCTTCCGATACCCGTGAACACAAAGAGAGCCCACTTCCATCTAAATGGATTGATCGCGATACAAAACGTGAACCACCATACCAGCTCCAGATATGTAAAGAAATCAAACGCGCCCGTTGGACTGAATCTTTTAAGGAATCGCGTCATATCAATCCAGCGTTCCATCCAGAAGGGTCTAGGCCTGGTTAGTGGATCAGATAGAAACATGAGAAGAATACGTGTGTAGATTCCGATATGCCAATTGCCTACCGCACCAATGGCATTGACGTATGTGCAATTGTTACAGCAGATGGATGGATGTGAGGGAGGAAAGGTTTGGAGATACCAGTTAGGCGGCGAGTAAGGATCTTGGAAAGTGTCTGAGGGGAGGAAGTCGAGAGATGGACGGTCGAATCCTGTAGCCATTACGACGATATCACCCTTTACGAGTTTGGATTTTCCAGGGCCACCTGGTGGAACACCTTTTGCGCGAAGATTGAACTTGATACCATCTTCGGTGAATCCTTTAATGTCGCCACGTAACCATTCGGCTTTTCCTTGACGGATTTTATCCATGACGTCTGAATTGACCATGGGTGTACCAGTGAATAATCCTTTGTCGTTAGGAGCTAGATCTTCTAGATCTCTGTAAAAGAGTTTTCTGAGAAGAGTTTCTGGTATCCAACTCAAGAATGTTTCTTGTCCGAATATATTTAATGCGAGTAGCATATCCACGACAGCATTTCGAGGGATGATCCATTTGTCACTCCTGGCCAAAATTGTGGTCTCAGCTGCTTCCTCATGGGTCGCAAATTCCAATGCTTCAACTGCACTTGCACCACCTCCAATGATAATGATTTTCTTTCCCTTTGCGTCTTTACCGGTGAGATCACTTGAATGATATATCTCCCCCTTGAATTTGTCCATGCCTGGGATATGTGGTATTTTTACATCTCCGCAGGTTCCCACTGCTGCGATGATACCTTCGAATCGTCCTTCTGACGTGTTATTGATTATCCATCGTCCTCTGTCGTCTTGATACACTTTCTCGACTTTAGTATCGAACTTTGTTTTCTCTTCTAGACCATATCGCTTCCAAAGTTCGGTGATTTGAGATACGATTTGTTGTTGATTTGGATAGCCACCTCGCCATTGAACGGAGGGATGAAATCGGTACATCAAGGAATGAATTTGTAGACCAGATGTACTGTTGACTCTCTTTTAATACATTAAAATTAGCATCTATAATGTGCCTGTTTGCCTGGAGAAACCCGCACCCTCAACATGTGAAAGGCAGAGAGAGAGGAGTAAGAGAAAGACTAAACATACACTCCAGATACCACCCAATTGACTCCTAGGACCAGCCTCGAAGATTTGCACATCAAATCCATGGCCCACACAGTGAGAAGCAGCAGAAACACCAGTCAATCCAGCACCAATAATTGCAATTTTTGGTCTTCCAAGCTTTTGACCATCAACTGGAGGGGAAGGAGAAAGAAGTTTGGCAAGGAAGAATTGCCATACTTGGTAGAGAAAGAGGAAAGGATGGAATATTGGATATGATAAGTCCATCTTTCGCAATTGAGGTTTCTTATGGGAGAAAATAGAATTGTATGTATCTAATATGTATCAATTGACGGAGAGAAGAGAAGAGAAAGGAAATTTATTATTGTAGGAAAGAATAACTGACATGTGCAAGTAGGAATATGACGTACCTATTTCTAGGCAGGAACACGACCAATAGGATTAGGTCAATATTAGCTATGCGAAAACCCCCCGGTGATTCCCCCTGGCTGGTACATTTGACATGTGAGGGCACCCCACCTATCCTCGGCAACCGTCCATTTACTCGTAGTATCGTGACTACATTATCAACAATAACTCTCTCCAGGTAATGTGTCGAAACTTAACTTTAGCTGTGGCCTCTTAAAAAGATTTTCGCATGATAACATGTTTGAATCACGGTATTTATTGAGTGAAGGCATAAGTCAAGGTAACAAAGCAATAGTGAAAATTGCAACCGTGTTTAATTAACGTTAAGTTAGCATGACTCGGAAGTAACCACCGTCAACAAAACTAATCAATATCTAAAAAGTTTCAAACTCGAGTCGAGCTCTTTAACCTGACTGCTGCGGTTCCTTCCCCCAACCCTGACCCAAGTTGGTCACTTCTTTGGCGTCATGCAAAACTTTCTGCATCAAACCCACTGCCATAAGCTCTTTTGTATGTTGTCGCCTAAGGATAGAAAATGAAAATAGAAGTATTTTGATAAGACTTTCATATTAATCACAGTAGAGGATTGTTATATCCAGGTTAATGGCTAATTAATGTCTGTCATTGAGACTTTAGAAGGATTGTAATATCTGCCACTATCGAACTTTGGTGGGGTTTCGAAAAGATTAGGTTCCAGGAAATAGTAGCTGGTAAACTAGAAAATTAGGCCTTCATAATGCGCCGGACTATTCAATTTTTTTCACATTCCAACCAATACATGTGCTCCACATTGATCGTCGTAGTCGATGAAACTTTTCCAATACATTCTATTTCATTAGTATCCTCGTGAACTAGCTCGCTAGAATCATTGCTCTCTTGTGGGATCCAAACATCTAGTCAGGCACCCCTTACCAATGGCTAATAATGTATCATAAGAAAAATGAATTATATCAACAGACTTTCTTTCTAGCCAGGATGAGATTCACTGCAAGCAATGTTTCCTCAATGAAGTGGGAAATTAGACTGTGATGCACTACTGAAAACTAGGAGTATCAAACTTTAGTATCAACTCATCTCCTCACTTGCCCGAGTTCCGCGAGTCAATACTGACCTTCGATGCCTCTGCGGAGCAAGTACGGTAGCCATTTGCTAATGTTGATTTTCTTCCTGATCGCCTAGCCAGCTAAGGTAGACCATATAGAAGCCCCCCGAGTTAGCTTCCCTAGAAAACGTATTTAAAAGACCCGGCTCCCCAGACGCCGTTCTTTTTCTCTTTTCTCTTCATACCACCTTTTCCAAAAGTGCTAACCTACCTTCACAGAGTGGCAATCCTCCACAGTGAGGCTGTCCGCTACAGAGGTGTACGTCCTTTCCGAAGCGCAGAACCACCTTCAAGAAGTGGTATACACCTCCTTCGGGAGTGCTGTATCTCTTCACGAAGCGCTAAACCTCCTTCACAAAGTGGCAAGCCTCTGCAACGTGGCGCCCACTAAAGAGCGATGTACGTCCTCCCCGAAGTGTGACCTATCTTTGTAAGAGAAAGGGTACAGAGAGATCATCTTTCGCTCAAGAAAGTTAGATGATACGGGCTTGCCTGTAAGTTCGTTGGTCTACAGACTGATCTCATAATTTTTCATACATGACCCTTCCCGAGAGGAAGTCCTTTTCAATTAGTCTCCGGACTGATGTCAATCATTTGTCCGACTTTTCTGATGGTATTTTTTTTTCATTGTATATGTGGCCTTGGTTGCTGTGCGAAGAGGAGAATGACGTTAATGGCACCGAGATGGAAGACCGATTTTCCCACTTGAGGGAAGAACGAAAAGGTGCTGTAGTGCTTCTGTTTGGGGTTAGCTTCTTATTTTGCGTTCATCTTTTTCCTTCAATTTGCCACCTAGCCATTATTTTTTCACTACTTTAGTTTACTTACTAGTCTATCGAATTGAAAAGTCATTCAGAGTCCCCTCTTTCCTAGGCCACCTTGTAACAATGCTGTAACCCCTCTTGATCTTCTCTACTGAGGATCCATACCATCCGCTTTCCCCAGCTGAAATGTTAAGAATTTCGGGGAGCTCTTGCTGAAGATACCACTATCCCTCTTCCTCACCGAGCAAAGATATACAGAGTTTCCCGTATTCCCCATTGCCCCCGGCAAATGTATTACCTGGAAAGACTTTCTTGGCTGTGCCATAGCCTCTCTTGCTCTCGTCCGGCGACATCTCTCGCTACGATTAACAAAATAGCTCTATGCATATCTTTTACTAATTTAGCATGTTCATTAACTTCACAGAACCCCACGCAACAGCCAGAAAGTTAAAATTCAGCACTCCAGGGTCAAAAAGTGGTCCCATGAACCAACAGACTATTTACGCGCAGAATTCGATAGAATTAGACGTATCTTTGCCAACAGGAAATCCAACCGACACAGAGATTGAGTTTCTAGTCGTGTGAAGGCACGATGTTTAAGGAGACGAACTGGGCATAAACAAATATATGTTAGATTTGGTAATTTGGTAAATTTTACCACTCCTCCGCATTATCCAACAACAATTGCCATCCGACCCACAACTTTTGTGAGGTAAACCTAGACCAACTAGCGAGTGCCTAGACCTGGACAACATACGGAATGGGCATGCAGCTCAACATCAAAGAAGAAATAATAGAATAGCTCTTCCCTACCACATTACGAATACTCGCCCTAGTTGTCATATGGGCAGAAGTTTTCAACTTAAATTTGTATCCGCAAAGTAGAATTTGGTATTCCTCAACTCCATTCTGTGCAGCAATGCAGTATTTGGTCACATAAACATAACCGCCCTTCCGAAAACAAACATCAAGCATGCGTGGTTTCGTAGCGTTCAACTCCCAGCGCCTTGCCAGCTGAATATTGCTGCAATAATTAAAATCCATACGCGCTCTAAATCCACCAACCGCAATCTCCTATCTTCCTTCCTGTCATCACCACATCTATGTTTCTGATCCTATTTTTGGCTGAATTCCTCTCGATTGCGCTAGTGGTCTGTTCATCCTTTCCAATCCCCGCATTTTTACCAGGCATTCATTTGGAGGAATACAGGTGATGGAAAATCGATCGATTCTTCGAGATGATGTCCTACCACGTCCGAATATTCATAGTGATGCCCTGCCTCGGCATATTCCACGAATATCTCCCAAATCCATGCCCAAACTCCCTTTTCACTTTCCCCAATTGTCCTTCGTCACGCCCTGACCAACCCATAAAATAACGTCCAAGTCAATACAAATCCACTCAGTCCCTCTACCAAACCACTGGTCCAAAACTCCCACGCCCCTCTAAAATATCTATTCCCCATTGTGTCTTTACTCATATGCGGAGCTATGCGAAAGACATATACGAAGGTAGTAGTGAAGAGCGTGAAGAAGATGTAGAATAAAAATCCAGGGTAGGATTCGAGACCGAGAATACCGGCGGCGATACCAAAGAGGGAGGCTGTGAGATTGTGGAGAGTTGCGAGGGTCTATGTGAGATGATGATTAGTTGATTCGTCTGTGTGAGGGAATGATATGCAATAGCAATGGTAAGTTATTGGCGAGCTTGGTCAGAGCAATTCGCTTCCCCCCTGGCTACCACAAAAAGAGAGGTGTCTCCCTCGAGCTTTAATATAATAATAACTAACGAACCTTCATATTGTGCATCACAGACTCTTGCACAATGGGGCTTATTTGCATTTCTCGCTCCGTAAGCATGGTGACGACTTTATTTCTCTTTACGACGATATGAGGTAGCAAGTACTATAGAATAGTGTGCGAAGCTCCAGGCCGGGAATTGGAAGTTATATTGCAGTATTGGAGTTTGTTGCGGAGTGATTATCAAAGTGCTATGTGGCGCAAGCGTTGAGAAGCTGATCGAGAGCTTACGTTTCGAAGCCTTAATTTGCAGGCTTCATTAACCTATCAGCCACATTTAGCCACAGCGCTGGAGGACATTGGATGAAATGAGACAACTTCAGAAGATGCATTATCAACAAAATTTGTCTCCCTTTAGATCTTCGCTGAAGTCAAACTTGAATCATTGCTATTTAATCGGAATTTCAGCTCAATGGGTGCCATATGCTCAGTCGCTAATATCATATCTGGCTCACACCTTTCTCAGCGTGTGCCTTGGCCTATATCGTGACGGCTTGAGTCTACATTTCATACTTACAAGACTTCAACCTTGGACGCCACTATTCAAACCTTGGAGTCTAGTATCGAAGAGAAAGTGCGAACACTTTCCCAGATCCTCTACCCTAAGCCAAAATTCCAACGCAAGTTTCGTTGAGCATCTCTACCCTAGTCGTCTATATTTACTTAGGTACTCACTACCAAACAGTGGCCCAGCGCCACGCAGGCCACTCACCAAAGCCCTTACATACCCTTTCAAAGATCACAGGCACGAACTAGCATGTGCCGAATTGTACCGCTTATTCACCGCGCTTGTCTCACATACTTAGACGCGATCCTTTAAACTCTATTTTCGCACCGGAAAGGATTTCTCACTCCCGAAGGATTTGAACAAGGGGACTTCGGAATTCGGACATCTACTTCATTTCTCATTGCTACTTTTGACTTCTCTAATGTCGATATCATTGAAAGAAATATGTAAAGGAAGCAGAAATTGTGCAAGAATTTGGTATGCTATTCTAGCTGGGTTAAATATCTAATAGACTAATGATACAGGCTTGCCGTTGCAGTTCCTTGAATCCACCTAAATGGAGAAAAAATAACAGAGATAGTACGAACATCGCGAAGAAACTGCTCAGGGAAATATAGAAAGAAGACAAATGCAAAAGAGAAGTATAGTTACCCAAGAAAAAATCTAATCGTCGTCGTCATCGATGTTGATGTAAGAAATTTCGCCCAATGTCTAGTCGCCCTTGATATGCTATGCTATGCGATCCGATGCCATTCTCAAAAATGCTGATACTGACCTCGAATGCCGAATTTTGTTGTACACTCTAAAATGCCCGATGTCATGAGGAGTATGAGAGAAATAGGAAGAAAAGGATGAAGTTAAGAAACATATCTTCCATAATCATTAAGATATTGTTGCAGATAAATCGATAACTGATATCCCTGTGTTGATTCCGCACGACGTAAATATCGAATTGCTTGAGTAAATGCGCGCTCGTCTGCTGGAGATGCAGACACATTACCTAGACTCATATGTGATTCTGCCGCCTGATTTATGGTTAGACTAAAATTCCAATGCGTGACGAGGGCTGAGACGTACCGAAGCTAGCAAATCACCGGAAGTAGATCCGAGTCCATCAGCCGCTCGAATAGCTCGAGTGAAAAAGTCCACGGCTGGCTGAAGATAGCCTCGGGCTTCAACATAAAGGGGACCCTGTCTACGTGGATCATTTGGTGGTGCTAGAAAGGAACAATCATCAGAATCGTACTCCAGGAAGTGGATGGCCAAGTCGGTGGTACCTGTGGTATCATTTCCTTCTTCGCAGTGGATGCGCGCTAGAGTCGCTTGAGATCTTTGAAGCCAATTCCTACCCAATCCTGATTTTTTCTCTGTGTTAGGTACACGATTATCTGAAGATAATGGGACATCATATTGGCTTACCCGTCAAGACGTCAACATTCTCAGGATAGTTTCTCAAAACTCTCAGCCATGCATTCTGGCAAAAGTCTGCAATATCTATCACACTACCATTGTCTGCATCGAAGAAGGCAAAGCTTTGAAGACCTCGGATAATCCAGACTTGCTCAGCGAAACGTGCTGGGTCACGAAAGAATCGAATGTGCTCGAGAGCGGTGACGGCTGAGCGAGCAGACGGAATATATGTTTCGCATTCGTGCGGTCTAAAAGAGACAACTTCGTCTAGCAGAGTAATGATGCTTTTGACTTGCTCGACCATATCCTCGGGATTACCCTCGGTGCTCCTTGATTTGTGACGGCAAGTTTTTGAGTTGGAAGACATGGTTTGGTAGTAGGTGTTTTAGGGATGATAGGAGATGTAGAAGAATGAAAGAACGGATAGTCAAAAGTAGCGAAAAGCTAGAAGATATGGGCTGTGATGCTGTTTTGGCAACTATTAATGTTTAATGTGCTGAACAATGGAACGAGCGAGGACGCCCTCCCATCTATATAGATGCTTAGAAATGAGATGCACAAAGGTAGATATTTGATATCAGTATACCCTCCATTTCGTATAGAACTGCTCAGCTTGAGCAACATCCTAAAGTGGATTAGACAGGAATCGAGGAATCCTACGGCACTCTCGCCAACAAGGGAGGGGTACCAAGATGGTGGGTCTGAGCTGACTGCCATCACCAGCTGCATCCAGAGGTTTCCATACCCGTCTTTGGGATCTCGGATCTCTCCAGAGATGCAGGGAGCTTATATGATTCTTATGTAGTATAAGTCATGATGAGTATGGGATGTAATGCGGAACAGTTCGGCAAAGTGGAGACCTCAATTCAATGAAGAGAGACGCTTCCTACATAATATTCATGAGCACCGGTGATATATCGGTGGCGACGCTGATGAGGGTCAGGATTTACCAAATCTACCAGTTGCTCGAAATACATTGCCGGCTTACGATACCCTAAGAAAGGCCACTCTCAAGATAGAAAGCTCGTAGCTCAACTATCAATATGCTGAAAAGGCCTATGCATGCCATTTCTGTGTTTCAGCGCCTAAAAAGCGTTGTATCTTAACCTTTTGGTATGCACACTAGAAATGGATTATGGACCATGATGAAATTATTGTGTTGACTGTTTTTCGCAATGATGAGAACATGCATGCACCGGAAAATTGATTGATTGCTAGTGAACCGCTTAGTGAATGACTTTCACAGGGGTTTATTAATGGTTACAGACAAAACTAAAACGGCACACTAGCCGGCGCCGTCAATTAGTGGGCCTTCGAAATTCATGTTCTATTTGCTCTATAGGGATAAGGATAACGATAATAAACATAGTACGAATATCAAAAGTGTCATGTTTTCCATGTTTGTCATCAATCCATCAGCATTTTGTTTTCAATTTTCTTTTCCTTTAGCTCAATTCTTCTCCTCAATCGGTTGGATCGAGGTAGATCTTTGGGCGCTATGTCATTTCCCCCATTCTTGTAACATCTAGATGGATTTGTAAGCTCTAGATTGTGTTATTGTATGCACGTTCATTGTTGATGCTTTCGAGATGTGTAGTAAGCTTCAGTTAGATTACTTAGAAACTCATTGCTCAGCCTTACGGATCATTGGATTTAATTAATTCCTCTAGATATCTATCAAGAAACGTCAAAATCTGCAAGCCACCTCGGGAAACGAGTATATTTGGAAGTTCACGTACGAACACCCTCACATGAAGGTTCTCATCGTAATTGTGTGCTGCAAAAGATTTGTGTACAATACGGATAGATCTACCATCACGACTACTTCTAATGCTCACCAAAGAATCAAAAGAGTATCTTTTTCGTTGTCGCAACAAATCTACTAATCACTTGTCTTCTTCCGGACATTAAGCCCTAGCAGAAGAGGCAATGTCATTGTAATACACTCATCACACTCGGAAAATCACCATCTCAATTAACACAACACCTCTAACCCTGCTCAAGAATTCGTCGAAAGTGATTAGGCTTTGGACAAACATGATATAACGTTACTGCAAGTAAGTTTGGGATTTGCTTACATGGCCTGCAGCAATATGTACTGTAATCTCAACTTCAGCTATGAAAAACGATTAGCCAATATACGGGATAGGATCTGGCCATTTTGGTGCTGATTTTTCTTCCCCGGGGCTGTTGAGATGGTTACGCCGAGGTCCGAAGACTATATATGTGGCTGATTACTAGAAGCTCCTTGAAAGTGTTCAATGACATAAAAACTTCAAAGAATATGGAGTTCAATCCTGCTAAAATTCAAGCATAGTTGAAGATGCAAAGGTCTCAAGTGACCATGCTTCCAGTACGCTGTCATTGACGATTACTAATCATGGTATACTTGTGGCATATCGTTCATATGACAGCTTGTTTGAAGGATTGACTGATTTTTAAGCCAGACTTGAGAAAATTAAAGAAGTTCATGTATATGGGACAAAAGGTGAGGTTCGGTTAGGTAAAGGGATAAGGTCAATGACTAATTAGCAGGAAGGGCGTGATCGTTATCTTTTGACATACCACGTGCTAATCATGTGCTTTCCCACTACTTTCTTCTTAGGCTAGCTTTCAATGACCACATTTCTAGAAGATTCCTGGCTTTGAACTTTTAAATACTAGTTATTTTATGTTTGTCTTATATAGCAGACCTCACATACGGATTCTCAGCCGTGTACAAATCTACTAGAACCTTTCGACATAGCGATTCCAGGGGAAGGATATCTCGACCCCATATCTTTCAAGCAGATACCAACCCATCCAATCTACTAGATTATCCTCTAGTATTTCCTATTGACAGAGTGAGTCAAATCTCGGACTCAAATTCGTCCAAGTTGTGCCAAATTTCCTAGATATCTTTCAAACTTTTCAATTGCTTTAAAACCATGGTCGAACGCACACACTTGGCATTCCATCATGATTCACATCTCTCTACCATACAAACCATAATCACATCCATAACTCCTCTCACAACCCTTGCCGAAGAGAACAAACTCCTTTTCAAGGACGCTAAGGACGATGCCTATGCTATCACAACCAAATCCACCATTTTTCATCCGCAAGGCGGCGGCCAACCATCGGATGAAGGGACTATGGAAAATGAGGAAGGAATAAAATTTACCGTTCAAATGGTACGCATGAGTGCTATCACCGACGGGGAAGTCCTCCACTTCGGCACATTTTCCGCGCCCACCTCATTTAGCCCCTCTCAGCAAATCACTCAGAAAATCGACCAAGAAAAACGCCTTCTATATTCTCGCTATCACACCGCTGGCCACGTCCTCGGAGCTGCGGTCCGTCACCTCGTCTCCTCCTCCGTTCCTAACTTTGATGAAACAAAAGCTTCTCACTTCCCCTCATCTGCCGCTTGTGAATTTGCCGGCCTCATAGAAAGTACATGGAAAACACCCATCCAACAGAAACTCGACGAGTATATCGAGGCGGATATGCCTGTTGAGATTGACTGGTGGGATGAGGCTGATTTCATTGCAAATGGAATGGAGAGATTGATACCCGACCGAGTAGCCATGGGAATGACGAAGGAGGAAAAGTTCCGCGTGGTGAAGATTGTGGGGGCGGAAACTTATCCTTGCGGTGGGACGCATGTGGATAGTACGAAGCATTGTGGAAAGACAAGCGTGAAAAAAGTTGCGAGGTCAAAGGGGACGAGTCGGGTGGGGTATACACTGGCCTGATGAATGCGGTTTTATGCATATTATCTATAGTAATGTTTACATTAGAGCTCTTCATCATCAAAATCTTAGGCTTAGGATCTTTCGACTCCGCTTATTGAATCTTATTGGAAAGTTTCGGACAAACTCTTTGTTCGTATATTTCCCCCGAAGGTTGAGATTTTGATATCCAGAGACTTTCGAATTTCTGATCAAATTGTGCATTGAAAAGCATTTATCACTAACGCTTACATTCCTTTTTAACTAAAAGTCAAAAGCTAAATAGAAAACCATGGCATTTATTACCGTATAGAATAACCACTATCCAGACCCCTAGTCTCGGATGCGAATCGAATGTCCTCCCCGATGTCTGCCATCCATTAGCCATTTGTTGCCCGACCTAAATCCACATCCCGGCATTCCTTCTGACATCCTTTTTCTTCTGCACCCTAATTCCTGCCAAGTCCTTCATTTCATTACTCCATCTCTCTTTCCCTCCAATATCATCACTACACCTTTGACAGGCATATCCATATGCATTTCTTCATCCCTCTACCTCCATCTCTGAGTCTGGATTCACACCCGCGACCCGAGTACCCAGGCCATCTTCAAATCCACTGTCACCACTCCCCCGGACTTCCGCGCTTTCACACCTTCCAAGTCTCTCAATATCTTCTTCACTTCCTTGATATCCTTGCGCATTCCCAGATCCAATCACAGGTTCGTTTTCTGTAACCATATCACTTGGTCTCTTTTGAAAGGAAGTCCCCGTATTCCCTGTTTTACTCAAAGAGAAGTCTGATGATGTGCCACTACTAGTACTACTCCCAGCTTTTCTATCAGCGTGATGGCTCCAGATTTTGATGAGTAACGTGCAGAAAGTAGGGATTGAGGCGACGAGGATCCAGAGATTGAGTTCTATTGTTGCCCAGAGGCCCGCGTCTGTTTCGTTGTCTGTGGGATGTTAGTTACCGGATCATACGAGGTACACATTTTCGAAGGCAGTAAAAGGGAAGGAGAAGAAAGAATAACTTACAAGTGGGATTGAGCCGCAGCATTTTTTGCACAATCGCCACTCGCCAGAGTTGAGCAGTAGCAACTACCGTAACGCTATTTCCTCAGTATTAGCCTGCTAGGAGACAACGCAACATGCAAGAAACGCTTACACAAGCCCTAATAGGAAAGTACTAATACCACTGATTCTCTCCCCTATCATCCTCTTGATTTGGGCAATGAACCAGACCGGAATGGACAGAAGCATAATATCAAAGACAATGGTGAATGTTTCGTTAGAGGTAGAGAAGATTGAGTAATCGATGCATTTTGCAGTAACGGTGAGATCCCAGAAAGCTGGAATCGGGTGGCACAGAAAAATTCCCACAATGAGCTAAGAGGGGAGAAAGTATTAGTTTTTACCCTCCCAGGGGTGACGAAGCCTCATCTGATAATGTGACTGATATGGCGCGGTATGACATGAAGGGATCTTTCGACAAACATGGAAACTTCAAATGCCATAACAAAACGAAAAGGGATTAGCTCACAGCAGCAACATACCACGCCCCATTCAACGCCCCATTCAACGCGCTGGCGACGAGAATGGGGATTCTATCTCTGGTGATAGCGAAAACCCTCCAGTAAAGCGCTAGTAACGATAATTTGCTCATGCTAAGAGCTACTAAATAAATAATCGCTAATACGTATAAACCTTCCAAATAAGCTTCCAGATGTTCTAGATCTGATTTAGCAATATGCTGGCCGCAGAAGTTAGTCTAGACTTCGACTAATATTATTGCTGTGCAGGCAATCGAAAGGGCCTATATCTTGTTTAGTCTGGATTCCTTATGAAAAGTACCGGAGGGTAGGGGGTGGGAGAGAAGATTTCGAAGGGTAAGACATACTGCCGCAATGAGGATGAGTAAGTCATCAAGGCCGAGAGTGGTTTGGGTGTATCGGCGGGAGAGGAAGCGGATAACAATAGTGTAAACGGTTAAGGAGATGAAAGCAATTGATACTGCCTTCAATAGAGGTCCCTCGTTAGCTTCAAGGTTGACACCTGGATAAATTGGAGTTGTGAAAGACATTGCGGATGCTTGACAATCATAAAGTTCACCTGAAGGTTCACTTGAAGACCTGGATGATTATAGATGCATAGAGACTGTTGAGACTTGGTACAATGCAGATTGAAGTTTTCTTTTGCAACCCCCAGCAGATGGCACGACATCTTTCTCACCTTTCAAACCATAAAGCAAATTCACTTTACGACGACGGGTTCCGAAAAGGGCACTTTTTGGAGGAAGAAAGTCGCGCCAACTACCAAGAATAGTAATTGGGCAATGAATGTGACAACTATACATACAGGGCGTGGTCGTTTGCTGCCATATTTCTTCGATCGCGACAAAAATTAAGGCAATGGTGGGCACCTTTAATCCTCGCAGGCCAAGGAAATTCAATTTCAACCTTGCATCATAGGTATCGCGAAGATACGTCCTCGTTTCAACATAAGCTGTATATGGATCCAAGGAGTTCCCTTTGCCTCTTTTAGTCATAAAAACTAATTATCTATTCCATACAGAAGTCACAGCTACAAAGACTATATCTTCGAGTCGTGCAACTAAGAAACTCGCCATTCGGCCTCGCAGAGATCTGGAATGACTAGGAATTAGAAGTTAGTGGCTCCCGATATCTGGCCCACGTGCATGTACACACACCTACCTTGCATCGAATGCACACAGTGCAAGCCTTGTACATGTTAAGAGTGGTGGGCAGAATGCTTCCAGTAGCCTCGACTGAAGAAGTTTGGACGTGCCATTACCGAGACTGGGCTGGAAGGTCTTTTAAGTTTGAAATTTTTGGAGGGGTTTTAGTGTAACATGAAGCCACAATGTCACCTCTGCCTCTCACTGCATTAACGTTGCATTGCGCCAGCAGGGACAACTTGACGCCGCCACAGAGTGACAATGCATCGGTTCTGCGTCGAGTTTGAAGTCGTCATGGATTGTTTCACAAACCGTATGCAGTCGGCACCGGTCTTTTTCACGTCCGATAGTGGTCTTCTCAAAACAAGAAATGAGGGCTTCCTTAACAACCAAGGCATTGGGTTGGATATTGTTTTGTCAATATAGCTGAAGAGCAAAAAGCACGGCACCGGCAATTTCACCATTTCCGAGATTCTCAAGCGCCTGAAACTGGGATTTTATGTCCATCAAGGATTTGTATAAAAAAAAACTGAAGCTTTTGAGGGTTAGAACTATTTATGTCCAAAGCTTCTCTCCCAGCGGATTTCGGATGACATATGTAATTCTCCAGAAGCAATAAATTTCCATAGCACATACTTTCTCTTATGCTGGTGGTCGTGCATCTCAAATCATACGAATCCGACGGTGCTGGCATCCTGTATGCACAAAAAGACGTAGGTGAAGGTACAAATTTGCATAAGAGAGTGGCAGTACGGGTACCATACTCCGTACGCACCTAGCTGTAAAACCACAGCAGAAATAAGATGCAACAAGCTGAGCTGAGCAGAGCAATCTCGACTTTCGAACTGGAAATGAGGTCTGGGTCAGATTAGCTATAGGTAAGACACAGAACTATATTTGGTATCCGGAAGACTATCAATGACCCACCAGATCCCATTCCAGAGATGAATAGTGGAGTTTTCCGTATTGAACGACGCTATGGCACCCCTTCTCAGAAGTTGAAACAAATTGTTTCTATGGCTCAACTCAAATTCGAGGGAAATGAGACGAGAACCCCCTTCTGAGCCTTGGAAATCTATAGGTGGTAGTGATAGTGACCATGGGTCCTTTTGCGTGCGTAGAACGGAGGTAAGCTCTTCAAATGAAAGTACGAGAACGCTGTACGTAGTTTCATAGTCTCCAAGCGGATGAATATTGAGCCGATTCTGCCTGGAATTCCTGGGGAAAACAGTTGTGGCTCGTCTGTGGCTTGTCAGGCACATATAGTTACCTAGGTAGTAAATACTCTCACAGCCACAATGATCTCACCAATCATCGCTACTACTGAGGCGGTCCAAATATCAGTCCGAGCTAATCATTAAGACCTGAATCTCTCAGGTTTATGGTTGATATGGGAGTGACATGTGCATGTTCATGATGTGATGAAGAATTCAGCGGAGTACCGGTAGTGGGGAAATGCTTCAAATCAAGGGGTATTGGGTTGTATGTGTGTATGTGTGTGGCTTGAGTGGCTCAGAGGGTCAGAGGCAACTCCTCCGAAAGTCCTCCTCCGTAGGTACAAGTCCTAGGCCTGCAATTAATCTTACTCCCCGTACAATCGGATTATCTTATCGGTACATCGGTGATTAATGATTAATCCATACTTAATAAGATTTCCCAATTACAAGGAACTCTGCCCTCTCCATCCACGGAGTATGGGTGTGCAGTCGTAGTCTTGAAAGTGTGAACAAGGGAGGTGATAATAATAATTAATATTAAATATAGCTGGGCAATGGAGTTGTAACGGTTTCGCTTCTTCATATCTATCCTATCCGTTCTACATACTGTACTTATCAATTTGCTTCATTCGAATAAACACTTTCATTTCCTCAAGAACAAACTTACAACTAATACTAATTGGACAATTTATTCTACCCCATCACTACCTACCTACAGTCACTATACTATATTCACTAATCTCATCACATCTTCTTCTCATTCCTTCATTTACTCTTCTGGAATCTCGATAGCACTAATCGGAATGGACTTTGGCGCCAACTATCAATAACGACTTGCATCCCATGGAGACTATTATAGACGAGGACTCTCCGCTTGCCGCCTATCTCGAAGGTATGCAGGAAGAGGATGAATGTGTTGCAGGTGACGCATGAGTGGGGACTTACTGACATGTTACCATAGGAGAAGGTGGAGAGGATACACGATGGACATCAAGCCACGAGGGGGATGCGGATTCTGATTTGTCGAGTCCATCATTTGCTCCACGGGGCAAACCAACCGTACCTCTTAAATTTCGACATAAGCTTCCTCCACCTTTGCAGCTCACTCGCTCACGCAATCCTACCGTCGCTGCAATACATGATACCTGTTCCGTGAGTCGTCATCTGGTCCTTATCAAATCCTTATCGTCTGATAAATAATCGCAGAAAGCCGTCAATTCACGACTTGGTCGAGCCGACAATGCAAAGTTTCTGGAGCGATTTCGATATGTTATAGTAGCTTCGCAACTTCTCAATACAGATTCCTTCCTTGGCCAGACGGGTCATGGCCAGTCTCGAGATGCCAGCGGACCTACACTCGATGCCCCACAACTTGGTCCTTTTACTCTTTCGGGCGCGGCAGCCACAGCAACACTTGCCTTCTCTTTTACATGGTTAATACACTGGACCCGCGGGAATGGCTCCTTTATACATGGCAAAATTCGTGTGACAATACTATCTACTGCGATAGTGGGATCTGCGATTATATTATATGCATACATGCGGAGGCAGTGGCTTCAATACCTTCGGCAGCAGTCTATCTTAGGAGCATCGCAATTCGTCCATAAAGCGCAGAAGTTTGATGCTGTTGCAGCAGCGGCTTTGACACTCGTTCAGGAGGTTGAACTGGTATCCCGTGGTTATAGACTGTAGGGTTCCCTTAGCATCCACATTACTGGCAAAATTAACGCCCTAGGTAGAAGCACGCCCTTACCTCCCGTCAGCCGCCTCGAAGACCGAAGTCAAACGCGAAGATGTACACGGCTCCGGAAGATCCTTCGAATTTCCTTCGCCAACATTATACCTCGCTATGTTCAAGCATGCAACATATTGAAGCCCTTGGCGGAAGAAATGGATCTGGATAAATACTATGACGTATACGACATAAGTGATCTGGATTACTCCGAAGCTATCTTAGGCTATACAGCAGGCGAATTTGAGGACGAGGACTCTGTCAGGGTATTGAAGATATTTGCTGCGAGATTTCACACCATCCGAAAGATTTTCCTCTGCTGTCTACTCGCATTCGATGCCCATGGCGGTAAACCGGATTTCCATCGATGGGGTCTTGCCGTTGACGAATTACATACCCTTTGCTCAGTTACATCCGAGGCCGAGGATAAATTACGTCGTATACTAAGCGAAGAAGAAAGTAGGTCGTAATAGATCCATCAAAGCTTCTCGCATCTAATATGCTATAGGTTTTCCAGTTCCGACTACTCCAAAATTACCCCTTACTCCAGGTCGAGAACGTGCGCGGGCACAATTACGCAAATTAAATACGTTGTCATCTGGGATTCGTGGTTTACAAGCGAAACTGCACGTTTTGCGCGAAGAGTCGGATAAATCATTGAACGATACAGAAGACGTATCAGAACTTGGTTCAAATTTGATGATGCAATACGATTCAATAGGTATTGACCTCAAAGCGTTAATGCAAGAGTGGGAGGATGGGAAGGCTGCGTTGGCGATGAATATCGACAGAAATGAAAAACGAGTATCTTCTATGTGGGGAATGACATCACCGGCATCGTCTTTGGGAGGTCTTACTGCTGTTGAAGAGGGAACAGCGGCTGACGCTTTGAGGGCCCTAAATGGTGAGGGCAGGTCTGAATCTAGCCTTGAAATGAGTGGTTCCGAAGTAGAGGAAGTATTTGAAGCAGTTGCGATACCGCGCCCGCGGAGCAAGTGGACGAGAGAAGAACGCATTTTAAAGATGAAGGAAGATCGTGTCAAGAGAGAGTCTATGAGAGACCGAACGGATGCTAATACTAAAATGCTCCGAGAACTGGAGTCTGTAATTAATTTACGGCCAAGGCCAAGAACAACTCCAGCGGGGAGAATTACGTCGATATGATACTATGTTTAACGTTTCCTTTACAAGTTTTAAATAGACACCCTCGGGTTGGGTTGAAAGGCAAAGGAGTTCTAAAAGACGGACTGCCCCAAAATGCTTAGAACAGCTTTCATTTGGTCACTATTACTTAGGAAAGCGCTGATTCGGGCGCACAAGGAGTTGGCAAGGCCTAAATCTAGTTGATTATTATCTAGAATCTGTAGTGCCTTGGAAATGTAACATTGTAAAATAGATGCCGTCGATCTAACATGAAGTCACCAAGTGAATTGACACGGCGCAATAAATATATGGTCCCGGATGAGTTGAAGTACGGCTGCACTTAACCCATGAACTGATGATTGAACCGGAAAATATAGAAATTTAGACGAAGCAAATGGTTATGTTGCTTGGCTCAACGGGTGAGTGGTGAGACAGTCGCCATATCACGTGAAGTCGTGATCTTTGGTATTTGGATGCTCTTTCCACGAAACCGTATTGATAATTATTCTATCATTACAACATTATCCATTTGACACTTGACAAATTGAGCGACATGAATCATGAGACTCATGCAATAATTCAACAAACTTCTACTATATGATCGCCCTTTGATCGTGATGGCTACTCTTACTGCGAGAAGAAAGCGTGTTTTTGATTCAGTATTCAAAAAGCCCGAGATTTCAGAACCAACCCCAGTCGCGAGCCCAACAGGTAGCTTCACAACTCCAAGCCAACCATTCGAAGGACCAGAAAACTTTAATAATGAACCAAAAAGACCTTCTTCCTCAAATACGACCAGCTCGCAACAGCTTGGTGGACATATTGGGGATCAATCTGTAGACCAAGTTCGTGATCAAATCCAGTGGGACAGATCTTGGCATACTGTCACTTATCGTCTCCAACTTTCAGATGTACCACCAGATCCAAGTTCTATCGAGACTCTAGAATCCCTGTCTATACCGCCTGATCCGTCCTTTGATGGTGCTTTAAAGGATGTCCTGGATTCTGCTAGGCGCTTGCCGTTTGCCCTCCATACGGAAGATCTTCTTGTTTGGCACACCCAGCAAGTCCGTAGACATCTTCTTCATCGAATCTTGCCGATGTTGCGAGGATTCACTAATGCTGAAGGTGCCGAGTCATTGGTTTTTGGCAGTGTAAGGATATTAGATTATGCTCATCGCATGTACATGCATGGGCTGTCGATCATTCTCAAACAAGTTGAACTTTTGACTCCAGGGCTCTCGCGAATAGTGCTTGAGAAATTCCGACGAGATCTACATGCTATTGTTAGCAATTCACTTACAGTTCAGCTTATCACTGCATTAAAGACAGTACTCGAAAATTATGTTTCTTCTATCCTTGGCCTACGAGGCGGGGAAGGCTCTGGTATTGCACCTATCAGTACAAGAACAGATGAAGTTTGCAACGAAATGCTCAACCTCGTCGAATCGTTGTATAAAGTTGGTCTAGCACGGGAGAATTTCCAGGTGATTTTCGCCGAAATCATGAATCGGTCCATGACCGAATATGTCAATCGAGGTTGTAGGGGATTGTGGTCTTCCAACCAAGTAAACATGACTCCCGAAGATGGTGATAGGAGAAACTCTGTACTTCCACGAACGGCACATCACGTATCGCCGTCCAACTGCGTAACAGACCTTTGCGGCTGGATTGAAGATCGATATTCTAAACTTGCGGTTTTGGTCTTCAAAGTTATAGACAATGTTGAAGTGGCCTGGAGTGACATGGAAAAATGGAAGGAAATGAGCATCGGCCGTCTTGCAGCACTCAGGACGGATGAGCTCTTTGATATTGTCGTCAATTGGCCAAATAGCAACGGAGCATTGCACGACCTCCGAACAACTATAACAACACCTCAAAGACGTTTGCATTTGACAGAAGTTTTCGCAGCCACTTTGAAAGAGAGGTTGCTGCACCCTGGAGCTTCCACGTTACTGATCTTACAAACATACATCTCGATGATATGGTCATTCCACTCGCTTGACCACTCGAAGGTACTTCTAGATCGTGTAGCATATCCATTGCAGGTTTACCTGTGCTCACGAGAAGACACGGTCCGAATAATTATCACAGGGCTACTCTCGGACACCGTAGATGCGCAAGGAAATCCCGTAGAACCTGGTGGGGATAGACTCATTGAGCTGGCCCAGTTACTGAATGACAATTCAGAGCAGTCGGGACGAAATATTGATGATGAAGAATTAGACTGGCATGATATGGAGTGGGTACCTGATCCTGTAGATGCAGGACCAGGATATAAGAGGTCTAAAAATGCCGATATTATCGGGACATTGATTGGGTTTTTCGGATCTCAAGAAGTTTTTATCAAAGAATTTCAAAGTATCATTAGTGAAAATCTTTTGAAGAATGATGGGGCTTTCGAAAAAGAGGTATGTATTTACTCGATTCCCATTCTCAAACAAATGGTTCTGACGCTCCTTCAGATCAAAGTCCTCGAACTACTCAAATCCCGCTTCGGAGAATCTCCACTGCAAAGTTGCGAAGTAATGCTAAAAGATATTCTCGATTCCGTGCGGCTTGACCTCGCTATTCGCAAAACTCAAGAGCTCAGTCTGGCAGAAAGAGAAGCCACACCTCCCCCGCCAAGTCAACCAATTCTGCATACCAAAATTCTTTCCCGTCTTTTCTGGCCTCCTCTCCAAGAATCCGCCTTCACTCTCCCTCCCCAAATTACCAATCTTCAATCCCATTACTCCACGGCCTTTTCCTCCCTCAAACCTGCTAGAAAGCTCACTTGGCTCCCTGCGCTTGGCCATACAACCGTCGAACTCGAACTGGCTGATCGTACCGTGGTAGAAGAATGTACGACTTGGCAAGCCACTGTAATTTCCTGTTTCCACAGTGAAACAAGCAGCATCGACGCAGATGAAGAAGTTGGCTTGAGCAAAAGCATCGAAGAATTAAGCTCAGAACTACAAATGGAATCTACTCTAATCCTTTCTGCTCTCAAATTTTGGGCCTCCAAACTCGTTCTCCACGAGTCCCCACCAAAATCTCAAATCTATTCCGTTCTCGAAACTTTGAACGCATCAGAGCGTGCACGTTCTGATGCTCTTGCTTCGGCGACAGCCAATGCTGATAATAACGATGATGAAGGAGAAGGAGGAAAGGGGGAGAAGGGTATCACGGGTGAACATGCAAAGGTCTATTGGCAGTTTGTCCAGAGTATGTTGACGAATAGCTCGAGTCGGATGGGAGCGCCGCAAATTGCTATGATGCTGAAAATGTTGATCGCAGAGGGATTTCCGTATAGCAACGAGGAATTGCTAGAGTGGTTGGGTGGGAAGGTAGAGGAGGGGGTATTGGAGTGTGTAGGGGGCCGGTATAAGTTGAGGAAGTAAGCGGTGGTGAAGAGATCGTCGTTTGCGATACACAGTATCGCGTCGATCATCATGTCTAAGTACAGCAACACTATATCTGCCTGAACATTTTAACGTCAAAAACATCAATAAAACTCCGGTTGTGGCCATACTCAAGCGCAGTGATATAAGTCCTGATTCTTGCATATCTAAAAAGCCTTAAAAATACAAGATTCCAAGCTTGATTGCTACCAGCAGGTGTATAGAACTCTGTATAGCGATCGATCATATAATCTTGCTATCGGGCAAGATCCTACTCTACATCAGATTTCCATTATCCTACCAATCCCGCCAGAAGAGTCTCATCGGCCACTTAGATCCTGTATTTTGAATCCGTTCTTGTTCATTTTTGAGTATATTTTTACTTCATTCTTTCCCACAATATCGACCACAATGAAAATAAAAAATAGTTTTAAAAAAATTTATATTATAAATAATTGAAAACTTAAAAAAGCTAGAAAACAAATCAAGAAAACAAATCAAGAAATACAAGTAATTCATCTCGATCTTTTAATTATAAATCATATATCAAATTATTTACAAAAGTGATCGTTGAAAATTTATCATATAAATATAGTTTTGGTAGAGGTTAAGTGGCCGACTGGGCTCTCTGTAGAGTGCGTTTATAGCATCCCATAAAAAGAGTGTAAAAGCTTTGGAAAAGGGTCAACGTGGAAGCTAGACTAAGTGTTCAAATCTACTTCATGTAACTCTTATAAATCCACATGAGCTAGGTTGAAGATATACGTCAGTAGGAAACAGATTAGATGATGAATATTTTTCCTACCGTTGCAAGAACATCTCACGCCGCTAGCACATCGTATTATTTGTGCCCACTAAGTGTACACTCTAAGTATATGTCCCTTTCAAACGATAGTCAGATGATGTAAAGCCGGTGGAATTTCTTCAATTCCCTTTTTCCTATCTTGGGAATACAATCATATTTCTAGGTATTGTTGGAGAAGAGAAAGGGTGAGAAGGAGCTCTTAGAGATTGGAGGAAAGATTTGAAAGGGGCATCTAGTCTGGATATTGATATACTCCAAATTGGAAAAACACGGGTAGGCTTTTTCAACTTTAGAACTTCATCGCTTAAATCATTCCATCATTTTATCAAGCAAGTCGATTTAAGATTTGTATGTATAGAACAGCGCAGTTCAAGAAATTGCACTGGATATGCTCCACGAGTAATTTGGGAGAATCAGGATGCTCCTTGATTTAGAGTAGGAACCTTTTGATAATTATATTTATCACTGGCTCAATTTTGCTGTGAGGAAATATTTTACACCTTTTATCGCCTACGATCATCAGCAATGGTTGTTGTAGCCCGGGGAGGAAAAATATTAGGATCGCTTATTGAAAGGAAATGCAGTCAAGGTGTATATGGCTCGACTTTGATAGCAATCGCTTCTTTCTCCTATTTCCAACCAGAATTCCATCCACTGACAGGACACTCCACTGCACCCTTAACACATTCACTCCACCCACCCGCCTTGCCCTAACGGTCAACTTCGCAAAGGCTTGAGGGTAGATTGAAGACAGAGCGAAAGAGGCAAAAATATGAAGTTGCAATCGCAAGCCAGACTCGTTTGACATGAATGGTGCTCAGAACCCAAAGGTGTGAAGTATGAAGGAGTAAATGGCAATGAGACCAAAATGAATTAGGATTCCGTACTTCCAGATTGCGTTCAAAATATGATTAGCATTGGTTTCATGAGTATCTATCCCAAAGATCGGATAAAACCCATTGGCTATATATATCCGGCCCTCATTACACCTCTCAAGTCTGTTGGGTATCTATCCATGCACTCAAATCTTCTTATCATCTATCACCGCTCGAGTCCACACATACCCTTCCGTCACATCCACCCCCCTAGTGCCTCTACCACCCAATCCGCCTGCACAGCACTAACCTTCTTTGCCCAATTACGCGTACTAAAAACATTTTCCAAGAACATGATCGCCTCCATTTTCTTTCCCCAGAGCACACTCTGCGGGTGTATAACCACCGCATTCTTCCCCTTTGTCGTTACATAACTTCCGTCCGGGGCCAATGTCGCCGTTCTATCTCCAAACGACCTCAGAAATGCTTTTATCAAACATTCGGCTCTTTCAGGGGTAGCGGGTTCAAAAGGTTGAGGATCGGGTGGTGGAAGTGCGTCGATAAGACCATGGGTTACCGAAAGTTGACGCAGCTGTTTACGATTCAGCATCGCAGATTTCATGGCTCGTGCGCTGACGTTGCGGGATTTACACCATTGGAAACGATTAGTATTTTCGGAGGCGTAGCGTTGCATGGTTGTTAAATAAGTGAGGAGATCGCCCTCTCGACGAACAATATCGGCGCGGTTGGCGTTAACTTCCTCTTCTTGTTCTTGAGATTTTGGCTGGATGAAAACTTCGGAGTCGGCTGTCAAAAGAGAGATAACGTCAATGGCGTCGAGAACGCAGTTGAATTCAGGGGATGAGGAGGCGATGAGAGCTCGACCGTAGGCAGCAGGAAGAGGAAAACTTGCCATTTTTTTGCCGTCGACGGTTAAATTGCCTTCATCGTCGAGCGCTCCCATGGCGTTGAGTTGGAATATAGCATGTTTCATTGCTTCTACATCCGGAGCATCCATGAGCGGAAAGTTAATAACATCTTGAACTCCGCGAGCTTTCATCTTAAGAACTGCCTCGAGCACATCGCAACGAAGAATTTCAGGGATTTCATCTTGAAGCCAAGATTCATATTCGTCCTTGCTGTATGCTCTCCAACATTTACCAGGTGCCTCGCGACCAGCACGACCCATTCTCTGCAGGGCAGACTGTTTAGAGATTGGTACGACGAGCAAAGATTCCATTCCCAACTTTGTGCGGTATTTCTTAACCTTGGCTTTACCGCTATCAACGACATAACGCACACCAGGAACTGTGACCGATGTTTCTGCAATATTGGTAGCTAGTACAATTTTCCTTGTTCTAGGCTCCTTAACTGGATCGAATGCTAATTGTTGAGCATCTGGTGGAAGAGCACCATATAAAGGAATGACCTTGATTTTTGGTACTTCTTTGCTCAGTGATTCGCCAAGTGCCTCAAGCCTTGTTTGCATATATTCAATCTCTTCTTGACCGACTAGAAAGACCAATATATCTCCGGGAAGAGGCTCCGTGACATGTATACTTGCGATCCTTTTAAACATAGTCTCTTGATAGTTACTAGGGTCGGCTGGTTTGTCGTAGTATAGATCAACCTTAAATTTTCTACCTTTCACTTCCTCAATGGCGACGCCAGTGTCTAATCCTTCATATTCTTTTTCTTTTTCAGCTTCAACAACTTCTACCTTTCCAGGCTTCACAGCAAGCATTGGCTTGGCGGCTTCACCGGCCCTACTATTATTCACAAGGTGTGGTGTAAATATCGAGCCATAGTTATTCCCTGGATGATAAGCAGGATGCGACTCAGGTTTTGCAAAAAATG